TTAACATTATAGTTTGAGCCTTTTCAAGCTGCCACCTTAAACTATTACTGTTTGTTTGGCTTTCAATATTCCGTGTGTTTGATTTCCTATTTGTAGACCATATATAGTGATATATTCAACCTTCAAACCATAGCCAAGTCAAACACAAACACAAAGAATTCGTATAGGCCAAGTCAAAAAATCACATTAACATTTGCACAAAATAATTTGAACACAACACCTATATATATATATATATATATACACACCCCCACACAACACATATCACATCTTCAACATTCCCGCTCCATTTCACAACTCTCTCTTCCTCTCACACACAAAAAAATATACAAGTTCCAAAAGTACTAACTATAACCAAGTGTTATTTGAAGTTGCTTACTTAAATGGCCTTCAATCAGAGCCTCTTCATTTTGTCCATTTTGCTCATTTTATCAGCTTCAGAACTTGCAAATGCCTCGAGGCCTTTGGATGGAGTCCAATGGTTGAAGAAACAAGTCACCGTGCACGCGTCGCTCGCTAGGGGTCCGGTGCCACCATCCTCCAGTTCTCCGTGCACTTACATTCCCGGCGGAGGTAGCGGTACCTGCACCTTGAATGAAAAGAACTTTGCCGGCCGTGTCGCTCGTTCGCCACCGGCTTATCCAGTTCATGTTATTAAGTTTGCAGCTGCAGCTGAGAACAAGCAATAACCATCCTCATGATCTCGCTTACTTGGCTATAAAGAAATATATATACAATACATCAGCTAGCTTCACAAAGGAATCGGAATATATATAGATATTTTTTTGGCCAGGTTCTTTTCTTTTTTTCTTACTTGGGAGCAGTCATGGTAAATTAGGTTATTATCCCTTGTAATTGATGTAATTTACATCCCATTAAATTAATTTCTTATTAATTGTGTGCTTCTTTTTTTTTTGGTAAAAAGGTATTATTGTTATTATTATTATAATTACTATTATTCTGATTAGTAGTATTATAAATATTATATGGTTACACTATATTATATACGTACCGTATTTGAGGTACATGGTCATGAATGGATGTTGGGCTTTAATTTCTTATTTGAGTACCATTAAAGTCAGTGACCATGCAAACCATTCCATGCAAATAATATGTCAAAGTTGGTGGGTTTTTTTTCCTATGCATTCGGGTACAATATATATATATACACACACACACACACACACAAACATATACCATTTAATTACATCTAAACGTTGAAAATAGCTTATTTATGCCAGAGAACAAATTCAAAATAACAAAGTAGCCACTGAGCTGGGCTTCAATTTATTTTATTTCTTTCAATGAAAAGAAAAAAGAATAACAATTTTTTTTTTTTTTTGAAAATGTAAATCTAAATATGGGGAGAATATACAGTTTAATATTAAGTACAGAAAAGGCCAGAGTCTGAGTACAGCCCAAGTAATTATTGATACAAGTGTCTTAATATTTTGAATTATTCCTCCTACACCTGCCCTACCATTTAAATAAATGCCCACATTTTTGGCTTTTGACAAAGTATTTACTTAGACATTAGATATACACGACTCCTAAACCTCAATTAACAATCATTATTAATTAGTTACAAAATAATCATCATTTACTATTAAAATATGAAAGTGAATACCAGATTTGACTTGTTCTGGTCAGCAAAAAGTTGTCCACTAAAATGTTGCTGGGTCAACTAAGAACCACGCTTTCTTCTCTTTACCTAAACAGGCCAAACCCAACTTTCACAATTTTAATACGCAATTCAAACAATTATATAATCCATCTATTGATTTTTATGTCAACATCCACTATAGGAGTTGTTGTATGGACTCAGCCTCTCAGGGTTTTGTAGTTTAATGGGCCCACAAAATAGCAGTCTGGGACTTGACTAAGAGATTGAATTGTAGGCATAAAATCATGGTTATCATATTGACCATATGCGGACGCATTGCTCAGTTCATAATTGTTTTTTAAAGATTTGATATTGTTATATAATTCTATTATCCGATCAGTTTATATCGATATTTGTCTGAGTCCGTTACATTACTACCACAAACAATACCGACTAATATTGCGACTGTAAACCATAACATAAATATACAATCATATTGATGAGCTACTCCAAAAACTCTCATCTAGCTTTCCATCCATCTTGATAACCAAACAGTAGTTCACAGAAAAACTATTATAAAAATGACGATGAAATCACAAAAATTACTTGAAATAAATTTTTTACAAAATTTGGATCATATTTTGGAGGTACGTAATCCCATCACTTGAAATAAATTTTTTTATAAAATTTGGATCATATTTTGGAGGTGCATAATCCCATCACTCGAAATAATTTTTTTATAAAATTCGAATTATAGTGTATTTATACGATACACTATTAAGTGCAAGATTTAATCTCTTTTTCAGAATGTCCAAGTATGAAAAATAAATTAGAAAGCTTTTAAACTTTAAGTAAACTCAATATGACTTTGTGAAGTCTCGTCCCTATATAGACAAATCTCATAAAGTTTGTTCAAATATCAAGTTTGTTCAAATCTCAATATACATGAATTTAGAACATTAATGTTTTGAGACAATAAATTTTGATAAATTCATTGACACATCACACTAATCAAAATATATCTCATAAATTTGATGAATCAACTTAAAATAGTTCAAATAAATTCATCAAGATTACCAAAAGCCTAGTATAGATAAATGTAAAAACATTAAAACCACCGAAATACATGCATATATTTGTGGCCTCATTTAAAACTTTATTGCTTAATAGGAAATGGATTAAAATTATTTTATTTTATTATATACATATATGTTTCAAAAAACATTATGAAAATATTTTAAAACATATTTCAACATAAACTTCATCCCAATTGTTTTTTGATGTATACATTTTGCTAACAGGTATGGAGACGATGGGCTTAATGAGAACATATCTATACATCATGCGCATAAACATTCATGTCATAGAAAAGCTATTTATGGTCCTAAAAAATGAGACAATCATATGAATATATATTATGTTATATATGGAATTAAATTTTACAAGAACATATAGCATTGATTTTTTTATGAATTCAGAAAGAAAACATACAAATATATATTTGTACAAAATGAACATACAATTGAAGAAATTAATTATTACAATAAAAATGCTATAACATTGAATAATTCTTTGTATCCATGGTTTGCTTCAGTGACATTAATTCTCTCTCCCATCATGAAAACTGAAACCTGAGTTTCAAGTTCTTTCAGTTCAAAAATTGAGAGTGATCTCTAATGGTAATCACTGATCAAGCTTCGTTTCTGTTAGGTAGCAACACCAAATGGGACCGTGGTGGGATGTGGGTACGCACTAGCACGAGGCAGAGCACCACCGGCAAAGTTCATTTCATTCACCGGACAGCTTGGTCCGCCACCCCCCGGGATGTTGGTGCATCCAGACGGACCAGAAGGAGGGACAGGACCCTTGTCGAGAGACTGCAACACAATAGCTTCTTCTTTGTTTAATGGTCTACTAGCTTTGTGTGGTTGGACACATAGGAGGAGGACTAGAACTACCAACACAATGTTGTGGGGACTCATTTTGTTTGTCTAAGAAAACAAATGATAATGAACATTTAATGAAGAGGCAGAGAGTATTTATAGAAATGTTGTATGAGAATTTCGTTACTCTATTATTTATTTATTTGTTCAAGGATTTTGACTCGACTACCGAATTCTTCAACTATAAATATTTAACATGAATCCCAAGTGTTTCTTAATTTCTCACACTCTTATCTAATATATATAATTAGGTGTATATATATATATATATAGTGTTGATTAATGTATGGTACTGGTTTTTGAAGGATGAAGAATTTGATTGTTTGATTAGGAGTGATGCAAGTCCGTTGGTTCAGCAAGAGGAAGTTTCATGGGGACTGCAGTTGCTTGGGGTTTGAATGTTTGAATGTTTGATTAGGCAACCAGTGTTTGAGTTTCCCATGTTTTTTAGGAGTCATATATTTGAATATGAGGTTTGGACTGGACGAATATTGAATCACTACTTGGATCATCCCATTACCCAAGTCAATCCACTACATTTATTTCTTTCACGTTTTTAGATTTATGAGTTATTTCTTATAAAAAAATTGCTGATACCTACGTTATAAGTTTTATTTTATTTTTTTTAATTTTTACCGCTATATGTCCATAATATAATTTTATAGAGCTTTTTTGATATTATTGAAATAACAATCAAAGACTCGTAACCTAATAGTACTTTCTCACCTTTCAAAATTAAAAGGGGAGGGTTCAAGTTCCTATAGAGATACGTAGGGTGAGTAGATTTATGAGTTATTTCTTACATATACTGCAAATACCTATATTAAAAGCTTTAATTTTAAATTTTTTGTTTTTTTTTTTACGTGTGACAATTTCATATAACTTTTATGATATTTTTAAAATAACCATCAAATGATGCAACCTAGAACTACTTCCTCACCTTCCAAAATTGAAGGTGGCTGGTTCAAGTCTCCTTAAAGACATGTGAAGTTGAAGTATAATTCTTGTCATTAAATAATTTTTTTTTTTAAAAATTGTTATTAAAATAACTTTAGTAGATAATTAGCTAAAATGTAAGTATAACATTGATTTTATATATGAAACAACACAACTACACATTTTTCCAACTATTTTTTGAGCTAGCATGAGATGGCATTTTTATTTTTACCATCTCAAATTTGTATTAATTTTAAATCTCTCCTTCCTTATCATACTCGACAAGAAGAAGTCTTTTTTTCAACTATTTCCATTCCCTTATCATAATCGGACTTTTATTCTTAAACTCTGTTTAGAAAGTTGAGGACTTCCAACAACACTCTTCGGATGTCAATATTAGCAGAAGGTTGACGCCATAAAGCATTTGGAGTCCCCCTTGAAAGCAAAGAAGGTTTAGTCTAGAGTCATCACAGTGTGGTTTGATGCAGACCAACGCAGCAACTAAAATGTGGGTCAGATTAGATCACAATTTGAAGGTTGCCAAGGTGGGCATCTTTTCAAACTTCCAACTCTCAATCACAGGGACACAACAAAAGCTACTTCTGTGAAAACTTGGGCAGAAATCACTCTTTACAAAATGTTTTTCTTATCAAATCGTTACAACCTCACTCCAAATCTAAGCCAACACTTTCCTCAAATACATTATTACGAACAATAACACAGTAATTTGCGCACAAATTCAGTGCCACTACCCCCCTTTCACCGTCCATTGGAAGGCCGGAATACAGTATAACCATTGACGCCGCATGCCAGGTTTGTTGTATACTCCGGAATATGATACGGGTAACCATCACCCTCAAGATGCCTCACGTTAAGAAATGGATGATCAGAACCAGCCATCTGCCACTGGTTTGGAATTAACCCATCGATCTGCCCATTCGTGTAAGGCTGTTGATGATTAGGCTGTCGAATCATATCCCTCGTTACATCAAAGTGGCCGTTAGAAGAGCCATAGACGGATTGAAACCCATCATCATGGTAACTTCGGGTAGGCTCAAATCTGCAAGTGCTGGTTGAGGAGGCCATGTCACTTGACAAACCAATATCACCAGGGAAACTGCAATGCCGGGTCAGATGGTGAGGCCCATTGCTGAAACTTCTGAACCCTGTGTTAACTCCAATTGCCCTGCCGATTCCATGTTCATCGTCAAGCAGGTCGTTGATGATGTCAAGGTGCGGGAACGGGAACTCATCTACCACTGCGCCTTCGCTCTGGGGCCCAGATGTACAGGCAGGAATCTCATCAGGGATTTGATCTGGGGATCTGCTGTATACAGACTCGTACAAATCAAGGTTCTGCATGTCATTAAGCAGAGAAGGATCACAGTGCATGCTTCTGACCGTGTCCATTTGAGGGCATTCCATCCACTGGGACCCATTCTGCAACTTATGATTTACTGTACCGAATGAAAAGCTTGGTCTGATTGAGTTCCCCATTCTCTCGGAGCTCTGCGGTAAAAAAATTGGTGCGGATGCCAAGGTTGGTGGTTGTGAGTACGACTCAGACAGGCTTACGGCTGAACTTGGCGACTGGGGTTGAGTGAAGGCAGCTGTACTTGCAGTAACATGGTTTACCATTATGGCATTGCGATAGGACTGAGGTATATAACTATGGGTTGTAGTTGTGGGATCAGGACCCAACCGGCCAGCGGCACTCACTGAACGTGCTAGCAATGGGGTTGTTTGGACCATGGAAACAACAGGAGTTTTTGGCCTTGGCACTGGAATTAGAGGAGCACTTAATGGCCTTGACATGACAGGTTTTTGCTGCGCCTTGGGCGTTTCAGTTGGTCTTGAAATTGCCATTTTAGAAGCGTCAGATTTAGATGAAACGTAATCTTTGGGTGAATTCATCGGAGGGGGTGCCTTGTCAGTTTGTTGGGAATTGTTTGATGATGGTTTGCTAACTGAAATAAGAATGGAGGAGGGACTGTCCTTCAGCTGAACAGCAGATTGCAGATTTTTGGAAGGACTCCTTGGAGAGCTTGGCACTGCTGTTGTCCTCTCTTTGGCGGAAGATATTCCATTTTCAGGATCGTCTTTGATGCTCAGCTTCCTTTGCAGAGAAACAACTTCTTCCTATTAAATGAGAAGGCAAAAGCTCATCAGCTGACATTGAAATCCAAAGTTCAAATAATGTTTGTTCACATATGTGGTAATGAAGTGGCCCTCTCTTTTTGGCCTCTATGCTTATTTGTATGCGCCAAGACATAAGCAAAAGAAATCAAGGTAAAACCACCTTTTTCGCCACATGCTGCTCGATATTCTTTATCCGATCCTGCAAGGGAAGTACAACAGCCTCGGACTCGGATTCAGCCATCTTGCTACTTCCAGATGCATCATTTGGTTGCTTTGCATCTGTTGCACGTTCAGATGGCTGACTGGGCATTCCATTGTCCAAACCCGTTGCATCACATATCAACTTGCCTCGCTGGCTCCTTCCCCTACAAAAATGAAATGCCAAATATAAATTTAAAAATATTCCCAGGATCACTAGAACAGAAGTAAGCTAAAAGTTACCTTCTTGGTGATTTTTGGTTTTTTCGGTTTGGAATTGAATTCCCTTTGTATGGCCCATTCATTACCACTGATGGGATCGAGTCTGTGGAACACGTTGATGAACTATCATCCATTACAGATAGGCTCTTCCTCTCTGCCATTCCATTTTGTACGGAAAAAAATCCACCCGCTACACTGCTGCTGGCTTCTGTCTGAGGATGAACTTCAGATGTGTCAGTATCCCAATTGACAGGACTAGCATCTCTCTCTTCTGAATCAGGCTGAGGTATGTCAGGAGGACAATCTACTGAATCAGACATGTCAGAAACATCTTCCAGTGTATCAGGCTTATCAAGACCAGCCTCTGCCTGCTCGGTCAAGAAGTGTTTTCTCTCCTCAGTAGGACTTTCTTGTTGGAGCTTGTCTTCTACGGCAACCCCAGCCTTTTCATCCCTTCCCTTATCCTTCCCTTTGCGATTATTTCGTTTTTGTTTACCCTAAGTACAGAAAAAAGTAAAAATAAAATGCACCTGAAATTGAAGTAAAGGCAAATACTTTTGTACAAAACAATTGTTACTAAACACCCATCCTCCTCCTGAGAGAGAGAGAGAGAGAGAGAGAGAGAGAGAGAGAGAGAGAAGGAAAGGGATTTGGGTGTGCGTGTTCCACTCTATTTTAAGGCCATAGCCTCAGATCATCCACATAATAGACCCATAATAGGAAACAAAAATGACTATTTTGGCTGACTGAAGATAAATTAGTAAAAACCATATAAATGATATAATGAATTGGCAGATATGACAAAGCAAGAACAGGATAATTCATGGTGGTTCGGATGGCCTGAAAATTGATAACATAAAATAAGTTCAAAGACTCGAGAGAGAAATTCAGATGAAAGTTAGTCTTCCAACTTCAGAGATACCACATCTTCCAACCAGGTCATCTCATCTCATCTCCAACCTTTCAATGACCTTGTTGCATATCCAGAAAGGTAATTCAATATGGGATGAAGGAGTTCTAACCCCTTTTAATCCAAGATTACCAGCCAACGAGACGGCCAACTGATTAAAATTATGATTTTCTAAACATAAACAAACACAAATATGTTACCAGACAGAAAACAACGGACATGTAAACATCCTCAAATAACCAATAGCTTCAAACCCAAATACAGCTCTAAACATACTACAAAAACATTTTAATATACATACTGTTTATCCTACTCCTGGCGGAACAAGCAATAAAAGGACTATCATTTCAATAATATCTTTCCAATTAGAACAAAAACAGTTCTTCCCTTAGGATCCACTATGATAAATGATGGATTGGAAATGAAGTTATTTGAATTTAAACAAAAAGATTGTAAACTTGGTTCCAAAAACTCAAGGTATAGTAAATTAGAGGCAGGAGAGACATTTTATTGCAATCCTTTTGCAATTAGAATCCTCGTTGACATGGTTCTCAAATAACTCCTTCCATATAATTATTTGAAATCCACAAAAATAAGGCTTTCAAATCATTATACGCATTTTGCTAAAACTTTAACCTAAATCACTTGCTCTAAATTTATACTATGATTCCTTAAATGAGAACATAAATTCATTCATTTTGAATCTTCAATCCAAATAAAGTCTTAATGATATATTGAAATGTCTATTATAATTCCCATAATTTAAACTTATGGATAATTGTCAAACCTGCTTTTTCTTTGATTTCTTTTCCTTTTCCGACACACCACGTTTTGCTTTCTGCCCAGTTTCAACTATACAGGAAGCCTCTTCTTCACGGATGAGCTCCTCTTGCCTCTTCAAAGCGACAGCCTCCTGGTACGCAACCTCAATTTTACTGCTGTAACATGAAAAAGAAAAACAATTAGAGTAATTGGTCAAAAATGAAAAGAAAAGAACAAATTTAATCTGTCACTGAACAAAGACAAAGATTGCAACACTAAGGCCGTATATAACATAGTTCGTTCAAAAGAGTATCAAGCCACAGGAATCCCATTAGTGTCATTAACATGAATAAGTTTTACTATGATGTCATAGAACAATAACCAGCTTCATTACAAGCTTCAAACTATTGGATCATATGTTAAAATGTACAAGATCAAAAGAAAATAATTACAAGGGAAGAATAAGAAAGGAAACCCATAAGAATATTTGATCATCTTAAACCACCATGAAACCAAATATCATTTACTTGTGATTTGCTTTTCTTTGGTGAGAAAGTCTGTGGTCACCGAAGCAAAATGTATAGTAGCATACAAAATGGCAAGCTTATGTTCGAGAAATTTGGCTCACCATCCAATATACCAATTTATACATGAACAACTGTACCTAGAATCAAGTTAAAAATTCCAACCATCAAACAAGACAAATTCCTGCAGGTTTTCCAGAGAGAATTTTTCGAGGAAATTTTGATATTTCTCAACATTGTTATAATGTCCATATATCAGCGCCGGAAATTCAAACTTTCAGAGACAAGAAATCTAATGCCATTGACCTGCCATAATGCAAAGAAGGGCAATAACACATCCACTGAATATTTTATAATGATGGTCACTACAATTACCCGTGCACAGATTTTTAACATGTAACATAAACCATACGTAACCTTTTTTATATCACACCAACCAGCCCTCTGTTAGCTGATCAAATTAAAGAAAAAAGGAGGGAAAATGTTAACTAAAGTATTATCGGAAACACTATATCTCTTTTGACTTGCTGGCATGGATAAAAGACTAATGCTCTAACTTCATCACTTGCAGCAATAGAAGATAATAAGGACAAAATAATCTCCTTCCCAATTAAAACTTATATCCAAATAAGAGTGCTCTTCTGAAACCAAGCTTAAGTAGTGTTAGCATTTCCCTTGACAGGATCTCCTGGACAAATACTGAACCACAGCTATGTACTAAGCAAAAGCTAGAAGGATGTCATTAACTCATTAGATTGTCAAGCTAATTTCATTTTAACATGCACAACCAAAGGAATCAACTGGTGCTCTCAGATCACCAAAAAAAGTAATTCGGCACTTCATGGTAAGAGGAAGTACCAGTAACAATTAAAAACATTTATATCTTCAAGCTAATTTGACTTCCGCACACAACCATATGAACAGCTATTTTTATATCCCAAAAACAAGCAAGAGACTCATTTTCCAGATAGTAAAATAAAGCTCTTGATTTAGGAGTTCTCTCATCGCCACCCTTCAATAGCAGCATAAGCGAATTCAACAAAACACCTCCACTAAAAAGAGTTTGCCATTTTTAAAATTATTTGTCGGAAGTGAATGCAGTGAGACTTGAATTTGTATTCCATATGGATGGGGTTGGCCACATGAATTCTCTTTTTCCATTCTTTTCTATTATACACACCATGTCTTCTCTTAGATTAATTTTTTGAAATAATTTTTAATTCCTTCATCCCAAGTAAGCTTTGGTCAGCTTCGTTGTCTCTTACCTTCCAGGCAAGCAACTCTTCCTCTTTGAACAGGAGCAAACAACTCTTCCTCATAAATATTCTAGATTCTATCACAACCAGTTATGTGGAGTCGTAAAATGAACAACAGAGGAATAAGATTTCAGCAGTAAAAAATATGCACCAAATAAATTACCTGAAAATATGGGCAAGGACAAATATTTCAATAGTCCTACGACCCAGTTCCGTAAGACGCCTTTCATCACGCTCAATAGAATCCTTGTTGAAGTCCTCTCCATTACCACCATCCTACACAAAAAGGGTAAGAGTTGCAATACCAGCGAATGAGTATAGCAATCAAATCAGTCAATAAATCGGTAAGTAGAAAGATAATGACAAGAAAAGAAGACATAAGACAAATAGAAAAACAATATATACTACTTGTCATATTTGACAATATGCGTAGTAGGGGTGTTTATTTCATTTCACCACCAGTGAATGCGCATACATCCACTATACAAAAAAATAATAATTAGCATTAAAAAATCCACACCAAAAACAATAGAAACCACATAAATATACTAATCAGATATGTGCATCAGAGAGCACACCATATACTCTATCAGTAATCAAAGCCATTTCTGTTTAAAATATCATAATTATTTCCCGAATCCAGGTTTTCTTATAGGGATTAAAACATTCACTTCATGCTTCTATCACCCATAGATGCATCAAAATACGAATTGGCTGGTAGTAAAACAAATCTATCTGGTGGGGTCATTTCCTCATGTACCATCATCATTGGAGACTCCAACCCTTAACCTTGCATGTACAAGGAGGAGATACTTCTTGGGTTTTGTTTGACATGTTTTCACATACCTAAAGGAAAGAGTTTAAAAACTGGTAACCATGAATGCATTTTTAGCATTAAACACCACATAAGGACACATCCTTCATTGACTAAATAAATTTTGAAGTACTTGCTTTTCGGAAATTTCAGCACTTCCTTAGTGAAAATTTCAGTAACATATCACTTTAGATCAAATCAAATTAAAATCTATTTTCATTTATAAATCCTAGAACTTTCTTCCACTAATTAAAAGACTAAATTAAATCTATTAGCTTTTCTTTACCTAAGAGCACCATAAAATCAAATGTTGGCAGCAATCTTCCAAAGATCGTAACATAATCCAACATCAAAAAATTCTATGGACAAATCAATTAGGCACGCAGTATACAGGAGCAAACAAAAAGAACCAAACATAACATTTATGTACTAAAGGGTCATAAAAGATTATCCAAACATAACTGTCTACGTACTAAAACAAATTTAAAATATTGTGATGAAAGAACAGGTTCTTTAAGAACTGGAATGCAATCGTGCTGCTCACCTTTGTACGGTTCTGAGGACCTTTCTCATCCTTTGGAGGCAAGGGTTCCATGGCAGCCCTCTCAAGTAATAACAACACATCATCCACCAAAACAAACGTATCTTTCTCCACACAAACAATAGGAACTGGCACTTCCTCAGCATCTAATAACTTTGCCCTACCCTTCTTGCTCTTGGTCTGGCCTTCAAGGGCCTTCAGTCCACTGTACAAGGAATCCATCACAAGCGTAGAGGTGACTTCCTTTTCGATAAAGAAGTGCTTTACAACAACTTTCAAAATCGCATCTGATTTCTCCCTGCACATGCGTCGCCTAGCATTCTGCTCAATCCCAAGCCAGAAAGTACAGAAGCTGCAACCATCACAAGTGATCTGTTACAAAATCAAAGATATACTGACTGAATGTGTTATCACATCAGATATAAATGAAAACTGAAACATAAGTGGTGGGAGAAAAATAAAAAGGCTCCAGTTTGTAACCAACAAAGGGTAAATCAATACTTGTATGATTGCTTCTGCTTTAATAGGGTACTAGGTTCTGAAAGTGATTGACATAAATAAAGACTTAAACTTTTTGATGATCGATCAACCCAAAACAACAAAAACACGGAAGAATGTCAAAATCTACAGCCACAGAAACTAAAATACCATCTAATCTAAAGGACATTCAAAAAGCTATACCTTCCATATAAAAAATATGATGAATTATTGGAACTAACAATCATATAAACTAGCATCCTTTACCTTGACCATCTAGCTTTATCCTCTATCAATTTGCCAAGCTTGCCTCTTCTCTCTTCCACAAAACGGCGACAAATTTGCTCTACGTTTGTCAAGTATACCCGAACAAGTTCTCTCCTGTACTGAAAATCAAGGCAACGGAAGGGACGGTCTGCTCTCTCCCTAGACACCAACAGCATAGGTTCAAATTCGTTATCAAGATGATAGATAGCTATAAACATAAATTAGTCAGCCATTTTCTTCTTTCTTTTCCCTTTTTAATATCAAAATACTTTAATATAAACAAAAATCATTTTTTAAGACCTTACATTATCTACCGTATGCATGACCAAATATATATTTTAAAACATCCTTGATAATTATAACGGTTGAACAGAGAGAGAAGAAGGGGAAGAAGGGGGGGGGGGGGGGGGGGGGGGGGGCGGTGGTTTGGAATTTTTCAGGTCACAGGACTATTCAAAAACTATCAAATAATTCATCAACCAAAGCAATTGAACCCAAAGTTAAAAAATTAAGAATTCCATCCGAATCAAATTTTATAAGTTTGAAACCTGCTATTTTTAACAGCAAATGACATCAACAGTAAGGAACATATGAGAAACACAGACCAACAATAATTGAGAAAATTTCTTGGTGAACACCTGATAACTTGGACTTGAGCTTTAATAATAAGAGTATCAGCATCAATAAATCCATCCAACACTTTTGATAGCTCCATAAATTTTTTCCATCCCCAGTCATGCTCTTTCTTCCAGAATCGATGTAATGTATCTGCATTTTCATTAAATGTATCAGTGATGAAAATCATTAAAATTAGAAACTCCATCACAACTAAAAAATATCTAAACAACCAACCAGAATGTTTAGATTTCTTTGGATCTTTATTCACCACAGCTATTGTGAACTGTGCGAAATGGCTCCATCCTGTTATAACAAAAGAAGCACATAATATTAACTAAAAACGAGAATGTTAATTATCAATGTAACCTGTAAATCATTAAATGTTATCCTACCTGGAAGAAGCTTGTCATGATTTGCCACACACAGAAACAAAGAGAGATGATTGCAGACATCACAACCTTGGGGGTAAATTAAAATGTACCTGCCACCACACCAAGGGGCTTAATTAGACCAATGCAGCAACTTTTGCATAAAAATCATTACTATAGTGTGTGAGTTGTAACTGTATTGTATATAAAAACTTCGTACGCCCATATAAGAAGGACACATACGCAGTCCTCAATTCACAAGATAAGTAAAAGTAAACCTCAATAACGAGATTATATGAGTTCAAGCATGTAGCACACACAAAACTGTTGACAATGTGATGTTACTATGGTCATGTTAATATATACACACATACACACACACAACATGAAAGCATTTGCTCAGAGGTGTCGGGTCAGCACAGGCCTATCCAAGGACAATTCCACTTGCATCTTATCAAGCCTCTGACTCCCACCTACTGAGAACTAGTAAAACCTCAAATGCTAGCCCAGCACTAGAAATTTTCTATTCAATCAGAATGAAGAACATGTATGCATGTCTGATGAAACATAGACTCGGGTACATGTGCTTGATGTTGGTATGTGCCTAAGCATCCGATTTATCAAACCTCAATCTAAGGCACGGTTGACTAAATATTCATATATTTTTCATGTTCTTTTATTTTCTATCATAAAAATGGTAATTTATGTAATATGAAGTTTTTAACATAGATACATTGGTCAGTTTCAAAATAATATTAAACAAATAGCAACATATTAAGAGAGTTTTATGCATAAATATATAAAACTTAAATTATAGCATATGCTTTCTATTTGTGTGTCTGATACAATTAATTTACACATTCACTAGAGTCCATAAAACATAGTGAATGTCAACAACCCCATTTGAAGGGTGCTGAAGATTCAAGATGTTGAAACTGAAAGCATCTTATGGTTGAAGCTGACAGAGGTTACTCGAGAGGGGGGGTGTCGCGGGCATGAACAAAGCATGCGTGCCTGAATCTGTACATCAATGTGTCTCAAAGCAGTCAGATGCAAATATATAAATATATACAGCACAGAACTTTGCTACAATGATACATCAATGTTTATGTACACGAGCGTATGAAGAATGAGAATCCACGTTTACAATATGGTATAGGGACAAACAAAAGAATGTCTGACAGATCATACCATTTGTAGCCGCCGACCTCAAATGCATTACTACGAAGTTCTCTCTTGTTGATCTGTGAAAATTTATCTATCTTCCACGTATATTTTCCATATAACTCGGAAGGTTTTGGCCCTACAAATTAAGAAACAGCTTATGAACAATTTCGACTATATAACAGATGTATGATTTGGAAAAGCAGAAAAAAAAAAAAAATGGAGCAGCATTTAAGGATTTTAACAGGGAAATTTGAAAACATTTATTGCAATAAAACAACGAAACTTAATCTCTATAAAACCGCAAGTTACAGAGGGTGTACTCTTCCCGATATTTTATTTTGAAATTTTAAAAAAATTGAGAGCTTCAACTCAGTAGGATTCGTAGGAAAATAAAACAAAAGAGATTGCAAATCTAGAAAACAGATATTTAATCAAAAAGTCTGAATATAGAGAGCTATCAAACGGTACATATACTGTGGTATGGCATCCAAATTTTCTTTCCTTCCTCCACTTTTTTCCCAGGCATTGCAGTCCAACATTCTGGGAGAGAGTTTATAAACCCAAAACTGAAAGATTTTAATAGCACAATCTGATTGGAATGGATGGCTAATGTGAATCAGTACATATAATATAACCATGGCAGTCCCAAGTTTGGGAGAGGATATTGATTAACCCAAAAGAAACAGTTTGAAAAAACAATTTGATTAGATCCGGTTGTTGATTTCTTTGGGCAAGTTGTATGATTTCTAGAAACAAAGAAGATACCTTGTTTGGAAGAGTAATTATAATTTCTATCGTGAAATCAGTGCATGACAAGGTTTTATGGAAAGAGGAAGATGGAGAAAGATTGAGTAGCTCTAGTAGCCAATTTTAAATTGTCTTAATAAAGGGTCTACCATTGTTTGGACAGCAGTTCTAGATGAAGTCTTACACTTGAATTTGGAAGATTCCAGTGTTGTAGAACAGGCAATGAGAATAACGGATGAGTGGATCATCTACTTGTGCATAGCTTGGTGGCTTGTACTCCTCATAGCATGTTATTTTCTTTATTTGGCGTATCTTGGTGTAGCAAAAATCAGTTTTTGAGTTGTTTTTTTTTTTTTTAAATTGTTGGCGTGTTATTACAACAATTAGCTGGATTGTAGAAACTCTTATCTACACTGCTCATTTTAAAAGAGTGAAATATATATACTTGAAATGAAAAAGAGCTTTTAATTCTAAAATTAGAAGCAGTTTTCCAAAAATAATATCCTACACACTTCAGGATTGAATGTTAGGGGTGGCAAAATTCAACACGACCTGCTAACACGACTCAAACACAACACTAAGTTAGCAGATTTGGGTTGACCTTAAACGTGTTCGTGTCATAATTGTGTCAACCTGTTTAATTAATAATTTCGTGTTCTTATTTTGGAGCTCAACCCGTTTAACCCAAATAGACCCATTTAATTAATCATGTTATATCGTGTCAAGTCAACCCGATTAACCCATAACCTGTTTTAACCCAATTACTATAGACATTCCTATAATTTCAATATAAATATTGTATTTGGCCCTTTTGTATAATTGTATTGTCCAAATTATTCTCATTTTCATGAATTTTGTTTTCAATTATCTAATTTGTCATTGTAAATTTAATTTCTATACTTAAATTAATAAACAAGTTACATCACTCATTTAAATTAAAAGAGTTAACCCGGTTTCCCGTGTAACCCTTTTAATAAACGGGTCGTGTTCATTTCGAGTGTCCTTGACACAATTCTTAAATGGGTAGTGTTCGGGTTGGCTTGTTTAGCAAAATACTCATATGTCAACACGACACGATTATGACCCCTCACAAATTGCCACCCCTACTAAATGTAGTTAGGTCAGATTCAGAATGGTTTCTTTTCAATATATATTTATTTATCAAAAAGAATGTTAGGAGTTCATACATATTGCCATTACACGGGTAATAAAAAAATTAAAGTTTAATTAAATATAATGACTTGTACCAACAGAAAATTTAAATGAAAATATTTTTATTAAGAGAATCTATTGAAAAGAAATATTCAATGACTAGAGGTTTAACTCACGTAAAATACATAACTTCAATAACAGTATCCTATGATGTTGAATACTTGTTATGTAGTGTGTAGCCATAAGTTAAGCCAGTAAAATAGCTACTTGTTAGTTGTAAACAACAACTTTGTGACCATTATCTGGAGGCTATTAGCAGCCCTCTCTACATTATATAGTCCAGTTTTCCATGATCAAGTATGATTTTCTTGTGGAAACAAGAAGAAAACAATTAGAAGTATCTTCAATCAGTAATTACTTTTAATAGTACTGAACTAATCCAAAACCCAAGAGTAGGTTAACAGTGAATAATGCCAAAAAGTGAACACTTCTTTTTGTTTTCATACCTAATTTGAAAAAATGGTTAAAAAAAAAAAAAAAAAAAGCACAACAGAGAACTGAAGAAGACACCAACAGGCCAATGGCCTAGCGGTATACTCTTGTTTTCTAGATTTGATTTGGAAGAAAATGCTCTTTCTTTGGAAGAAAGTATCAACCTCTTATTTCCCAAAGGAGGTCAGGGGTTCAAGTCTCAGAAGAGACAAGTGTGTGTGAGTTCCAACCAGGAAAAAAAAAAAAAGAACTGAAGAAGACGACAAACAACATACCACAGTCATCTTCATCGTCAGTATCCCAGTAAGGAGGTGATGTTGATGGGGTTCCATTTTCTACCTGCTCGGAAGATCTCCACTCTGCCGTTTCTCCAGATTGGCAACGCTGCTCCCCATATGAAACCCCCTCAAAATCCCTTCCAATTCCAGACTCTTCGCTCGCATTTGCAGCCATTTCCCAGTTCACAACTCCCTGGACACTCTTTCAACTTCGCCCACTGCGAGAAAAATAAAACACAACGGAAAACTATCAAAAATAAGCTCCAAAGGTATATTTTTCATAACAAAAAAACTACACATCATATGCAATTCTCCTCCTTTCTCAATTATGATATTGAAAACTTCAAAACAGAATCATCAGCCTACCAAAAATGTGTCCTTTACCAAAATAATAGAAACATCCCCTCATTATACATTTTCAGTCGAAATTAACAGGTTGGAAAATTAGGATTCCCAACACAATTGCATCATGAAATTTCTCAACCCCACCTTGGAAAATTCTCATGACCAAATGCCCACATCCAAACCCACAGAGTACGATAAACCCTAAATTTGTAATTCTTGAAAAATAAAAAATAAATTTGGAAATGAATCAATAATTAACAAAACCCAAAAGCATAAAAGATATATATAGGGAAAGCATAAACTAAACCCTGCGAAATGAGCCCAATTCAACAGAACCCACATCGAACAATACCCAAACCACTCGTCCCCATAAACAGATAAGATCGCCATGAAAAATCCCCCAAAAAAAACCCCTCATAAATAAACCCTAAAACAGGAAAAACAATTGAAAACAGGAGAAACAAATCAAGAACGTCAAAACACGAAAAGGAAATGCACAGATCGAATGGGTTAATACATACCTGCAAGAAAGAACAAAACTTTGTCAAATGGCGAAATGAAGTTGTTGTTGAGTTCGAATAGCGAACGGAGAAGAGAGAGAAAATGTTACAGGTCGAAAGAGAAGCAGAGCAGAGGCGGAAATGAATATTATTACAATTTATTATTTATGCTAAGAATTTTTGTGTGTTATTTATACGTTTTATTGAAGAACAACAGTGAGGAGGAGATACGGAAACAAGAAGGGCTTGCTCGCTCCTCCTCTCTCTCTTTCTCTCTAGAAAAAATAAAATAAAATGAATTTGTAAAAAGATAGAGCACAAACTCTACAAATTACAATATAATATATATATATGTGACCGTTAAATATATACAGTACAAATTTCTATATATTTATATTATTATTACAAACAGGGTCGGTGACAAACGAGGAGTCGAAAGAGGTGGTTTTAATCTATGCTTGACTTTTTTTTTTTTTGGGTGTCTTGAACTTGGTTCAATGGCCAATCACTTAGTGGACCTCACTTTTGAAATTAGGGCTTTGATTGTGCCGGATTCTACTTGATTTAATCAGGTTTTGATGATTTGAAACCGTGATCGATCTATGTAGTTTGATAATGGATTAGCCCGAAACTAACCTCCTAATTCTTTTCATGAGAAGTCTACAAATAAAAAAGGCAAAATTGTAAAAAACTCCCATTAAATTTTTACCAAATGAGCACAATATTTATAAAATGAGCAAGTATGTCCTTTTTCAAAAGTGAGCAACAATATGTAGACTTCTCATGAAAAGAATATGATCTCTTGGCCATTTTGACTTCATTTTGTGATGCACGTTATTGATATTAATTCTGAAAGTGTCCTTCAATATGAAGTTTTGATTTCCGCTTTCTATTTGTATCTACTCTATATGCTCTCCCCTCCAAGGTAAGTTCATTTTAACATTTAAATATATATATTTCTGTATTTGATTATGGTAATTAAGTTGTATATAATATATATATATATATATATATATATATATATATATATAATTATTCTTGGATCATATATATTTTCATGTGCCTTCCTTTCATTTTTATCTCTTCCATATAACTATATCAAAATGGTTTGTAATGTAATATGACGTAGCTGATGATATGAAAGGTATGTAGTCAAAGGCTAAAATTGATGAAATATGTATAATCAGGACAATTCAACCTAAAGCTGACACAAGATGGACATGAATTAAAGTAACACGTGATACAAGTATTACTTTATCACTAATAACAACAATAACAATAATAAAACATTTTAAATTTTAGATGTATGTGTAGCCATCACACGATTATAAATACACCTAATAATTATCACTCCAGTTATCTATAATTATTTAAATTTTAATAACTTTTATTATATTATTAAACATATCCAAATAACTTGATCGATATATCACAAGCGTACATCCAGTATCAACTCGCAAGCAAAACTTTAATAATTATATAATAATTAACTTAACAAAACTAACTAAACACTTGAATATATATATATATATATATATATATATATATATATATGTGGTTAATCTCAAAAGCATGCATCCATTACGATACACACTACAACACCAGCCACGCATTCACACGCGCGCACGCATGCACTTACATGAACCCACCCGAGGAGTTGCAACACTTGAGATAATTTAAGATCATGTAATGGCTCAAGTTATTATAGAGGGTATTTAAAATATATTGACTTTTATATATTTTTTACTTAAAAGAAAATAATTGTAATGGATAGTTTGTGATATGACATCAAATGGGAAGTGGTCTGAAGTGAAATTCAAGGGGGCAAATTGCTCATTTTTAAAACTATAAGGAATAACTTGTTCACTCTTATATCACAAGGGTGTGCTCACTTGGTGAAATTTTAGGAGTATTTTTTTGCACTTTTGGCAATTAAAATTTATAATAAACTGAAATTATGGAACTCATTTGTTTTGGGATTTGGATAAAAATGAAATTGTGATTGCAGTGTTACGGACTTGACTACTTGCTAGGGTATCAACCTCATGATTAATTGAAGTTAATATATATATGTGGACTTTTGACGCGTACAAATGGGCCACAGCCCCCAAAAGATAGAGCAGGCCATTAGAAGGCCAAGCCCAAACAAGCAAAGCAAGGCGAACAGTTGGTCCAAGACATTTATAGTCTAAGAAGCCCTAGACTTAACATTGTCTAAGTCACTTTCCCCAAATTTTTATTTTTTTTTTATTTTTTGTCTAATAGGCATTGTGCCCAAATCAATTCAGTCCGGTGGCTCCAACGGTGGGCGTATGAAGGACAGAGGAAGATCCCAATCAAGCAACAACCTCCTTAGCAAGGCTGAGTCCGTCACACCAATGGGCATTATAACTATTTGCTAATCAGACTGACTTTTGGAGATGAAACAAGTATGTAGGACGCGTGTAAGGTCACAGTAAATGATACTCTCTTTGTTCCAATTTAATTGCCCTTATTTCCTCTTTTTATTAGGCCATCTTAAAATACTTGTTCAAGTTTAAAAAAAAAAAGAAGTCCAGACAAGATAAGTGCATATTTCAATAAATACCCCACTACAACAATTATTTGCTGTTTAAAGTAAAAATAAAAATGCTGCCATGTAGCTATGGCAACATTTGTATTTGCTGTCATAACCGGATAGGCACGGCAGCAATTATATCTGCTGCCACATATAGCAACAAATATAAATACTGCGAAAAATGACACTTATTTTTAAATATAACACTATATGTAAATGAAACAATTTTTAAAAAAAAATCAAAATTTTATAATCACATCAATCCATTGATAAACCAAATTTACTAATTTAATAAATCCAATCCACAATAATGACACTTATTTTTAAAGGTTATAACAATACATTTAAATGAAACAATTTTTTTAATGACAAAAAAGAAACAATCTCAACCATACAATATTTAATCCATATATCATCCTTGACAAAAAAGAAACAATCTCAACAATACAATTTTTTTTAGTGCCAGACTTCGACTCTCTCCGTCTACTAATCTAACTTCGGACACTTCTTGCCTTGTGAAAAAAAAAAAAAACAGAGAGAAAGAGAGACTCTATGTTTCATCCTTGTTATCCTCCAAGAATCATCTTTGTACAACCTGAAATAAAACATTTAACTTATTAGAAACCAACAACTATGATTTGAATGAATACAAGCTAATCATTTCAAAAGAAATTTCGTTCTTACCACCCCTATTGGTTTTTTGTAGTCTAGTTGCATAACTCATTATGCCAATAAATATTATCCCACGACCCAAACAAACTCTCTTCTATCTAATGCAACCCTTCCTCTCAGTCCCCACACACACTCTCCTCTCACGAGAGAACAAAGCTGGTTCCTTTAAACTAAACTAAAACAAGAAATTCCAGCAAGCAATGTTGGTTAGTATCCCTGCATTGCAGAGGGGCATATTTCAAGTAAAGTACAAAATCCATATACTCCCAAATCCGCCATTCAGAAAACAAAAAACAGAATGACTTAACAAAAATAAGTAAACACTCGGTAATCTAAAACAAGGAAACAAAAATAAAAAATTTTACTATGTCAATTTTCAAGCACTCTATATATATATTGACTTAACATTCAGTAAGTATGTCATAAAACAAATTAACTCATCGAATTTCCATCATATATTCAAAATTCATTAGGTCTTGGAAAAAAGCCAAATGATCATCAGTCAAACAGGGACAAGTTTTTTAGCCCATAAGATTAAATTGTGAAATGTTTGAGATAATTAAATATAATTTTTTTTCCTGAATTATTAATTAAATATAATTTCGACACACTATAACTATATTTTCTATTGCAGAAAGTGAAGAAAGGCTTATATACAATTTATCTACACATCATGTTAACAGAAAAATAATGCACAAATTATATCATGTCAATATTAGAATGATCTCATTGTAAAATAATCAGCACACTATTCTAAATTTCTAATACTACCAAGCTTAATCTTAGTACAATTTAATGGAGACAAATACTGCTCACTTCTACCTGAAGACAACAGTAGTAGAAGATTATCCCATGCCATTCCAATGAGAAACCAAAGCAACCAATGCCAGACACATCAAATGCACAAAAAAAGGAAGCCCTGCAGCCAATGAAGAAATATATGATGAGAAGATTAAAATTTATATGCATTAGACGCGACATCCATAAAAAAATAATTTTTCAATGAACATGTCTTTAAACAGAGCTACAAATTGATGAGGAAAAGCTCAATATCAACTTTCTTTGTTATATGAAGATTGAGTTTCATCCATTTATCATCTTTGTTATCCTCCAAGTATCATCCTTCTCTATATATAACCTGAAAATAAAACATTTAACGTATTAGAAACCAACAATTATTATTTTCTAGATTCATTTCACCAGCCATTTTCAAGTTATGCTCTAACATTACAAAAATATTGTAGCTACAAATGAAATTCCAATCAAAGCTTCAAACTACAGAGTTTATCATTCACATTATTACTCTCAATTAACAAAAGACTATTGTACCATCAAAGTGAGAATGCAGAATGTAAGTTCAAGACAAAGCACAACAATTTATGTAAATAATATAAAAATTTAAGCTTACACTAAATCTATCTGTACTGATACCCTCAATTAATGAGACCCATGCTGTGATACCCCCTAATTTCAAAACACGGGTTGATCAAATCCGCGCACAAAATAAGGGAAATATCAAAATAATTAAAGTATTTCAAACAAGCACAAAGTACAAAATGAAATAAAAGAATAAATAATACGCTGAAGAAAAACTAATAAATAAAAATTTCCATTAATAACTTGCCAATGGTTACAACTTGAGAATCCCGTAACTCAAGGACCCCTTAACTAAAATCCATTATCCATAAATCCATTAATAATTACGAAGTAATAACATCCTACTTTGAAATAAAATAGAAAGAATAGATAAGTCTTCCAGCTGCGAATCCTCAACCTTGAGACTTGAACTTTTAATAACTTGAAAAATAAATCGTAGGTTAAACTCTACGAGCAAACACTCTCTACCAGGCCTCTGAAAACCAATAAGTAGATCATCTTTGATCAAAACCAAACCTAATAAAGTTTTAAGTTTAATAAAGATACACATATGTATAAATAATTATATACAATATAACATTCACATCCATTAATAGGTTCTTTAATTTTCAAAACCATTAAACCAAGATTAAAATATAATCCTACTTAAACCAATCCACAATCTCTTTCTCTTTTAAAGAGAAACCTTTTAAACTTAATTACATTTTAAATAATTATTTAATCATTTAAATAATAAACCATAATCTAAGCAATAATTCATTTAATCCAAAACCCTATAACCACTAATGAATGATTTTATTTATTTAAATCATAAAGCAAAGATTTATGCCTTGACAATTTATTCATGCCTTATCCAATATTATTTTATTAATATATAAAAAATAATACACTAACTTATAAATACTCGATTATTCTAATTTAAGAATAACAAATTCTAATCCAACCTATACATATAATAACCATAGATGAAATTTTAATTATTTAACATATAGCAATTTAATTACGTTTTGGCAAATCAACCACGCCATTATAAATATATTTATTTATATATTGACAACCCAACCATGCCTCCTTAAGTATTTTCATTTATACATTGACAATTTAACCATGCCTCCACAAGTATATTTATTTATACATTGACAAATCAACCATACCTCCTATGTATATATTTTATTCATATAAATAATGCAATATTTTTTTTAAGCCTTTGGCAACTCATCCATGCCTACGATTCAACCATGTACCAACCTTAAACTTAATCAATAAACCAAATCATACATAGACATCTTATGAATATAATAAGCATATCATTAATTAATAACCAGCCTAATCCAGATATACCAAATAAGAATAATGATTTAATAATCTTAAATAATATATACATATACACATATATATTATTTAATATATATGTGTTTAACACCTTCCTTAATAATCCTTGAATATTTAAAATTATATATATATATATATATATAATTATTTATATATGTGTATATATAGTTTAATTCATTTATGAGTTGTATGGAAGGATGTATATATATATCATTAATTAATAACCAGCCTAATCCAGATATACCAAATAAGAATAATGATTTAATAATCTTAAATAATATATACATACATATACACATATATATTATTTAATATATATATGTGTTTAACACCTTCCTTAATAATCCTTGAATATTTAAAATTATATATATATATATATATATATATATATATATATACACACACACACACACACACACTTCCTTACATAAAAAAATTATTAATTTATTATATTTACACAAATTAAATGCTACTAAATATGTCAGAAATAGTTTTCCCTAAATACTCCATCTCGGTTTAAATAGTTTTCCGACACCGACTTACTAAAACCTAAATATCTCCTAGTAGGATGAAAATCTGATAATGAAATTGGTACCATCGAAAAGAGGACGAAAAATTCTTAAATTTTAGCTCAAGAATGACCCAATTTCAATTTAAAATGACAGAGTAGGTAAATAGGGATCAGCACGTGCATCCACGCGCTTTCCTCGCACTTGCACGCACCGGATCCAAGTCTCCATGTGTACTGCGCGTTCTGATTGGCTGAAGTCTTTCAGTTGCTGTGAGCTCGCCCACACCAGATTATTTCTATTTTGACTAGACTACATCTACGGTCCAGATGCATATGTGTACCCTTCTCTATACGCAGCAATGCACCGAATCATTCTACTTATATTAAATTAATCTAATGGCCTAGATTAAGGTGTGTAACATCTTATCATGTGCCGCAATATACCGGATTATTCCACCTAAGATTAAATAATCTGATGGTCCAGATCAGCATATGCACCACAATTCCATGCGCCGCAATGCACCAGATCAATCCACTTATATCAAACTCTTTCAACAGCCAGATGAGCGTGTGTACCAAATTCTTATGCATCATCCTACACTAGATTTCAACCCTAATGTTGCGGCGATAATACAGACGCCTCCAGTTTGTGCGTAAGTTATACTACCTTCATCCTATTTTAATTGTCGCCTTCGGGAACCGTGACTCACAAACGGTTCCCGAAGGCGACAATTAAAGTGGAACAGAAGGAGTATATATATATATAATTTATATATAGAAAAATACCAAAAAATTCTAGAAAAATCATAGAAAATTCCAGAACATCTCAGAAAATTCCAAAAATTCTAAAACCCCCAATTAACCGTCTTGGGTCATAAATCAAGCATATCAATTGATTTTTAAAATAAATACAACACATATATCTGTCAATTTAAAATCCAAAGTTTAAAATATATAAAAATATATAATAATTCATTCTTTTAATTTATCCGATCTAACCATGATTTAATCAAATAAACTAACTTAATGCTTTTGATTAATCCGTTCTAACCATAATTTAAATTAATAATTTAATTAAAGCTTATTTAGGTGAAATCCTTATGAGTTCTAAGAGGAAAGTTAGAGAATAACTCGCCTAAAGGTTTCAAAACGAAACCGACGCTTCAAGCTTTGATTGTCTCTTCCAATTCTGGCGTCTTCTTTCTCTAATCCGGCCTCCTCTTTGTCAACATTCTACTCTTCTCACTCTACCTCTCTTATTTTTCTAACGTGTAAATTTTTAATCCTAAAGCCTTATGTGTATATTTATACACATTAAAAACCAAATCCTATTCCTACTATGATTATCAAATAAAATAATAATATTTAAATAATATATATATATATATATATATATTTATATACATATATATTGTATTATATATATTAATACCTTCCATAAATAATCATTTATTTATATATAGCTATATATATCAATATATATATTGACATATATACCCCTCCATAATGATTATTAATTAATTATATTTATATACATATAATTATATATATATATATATATATATAATTATGCAAAGATAATTATTTAATAACTTCATAACCATGGGCCTTTAATAATTAACCCAACAAGGCTCCTTCAAGTCCAAGACCACATCCATTGGTCTCACTCCTCTTAAGCCCAATCCAATTGAAATAAAATAATTAAATTAAATCTAATAATTACAAATAATTAACAAACAATTCACACAAACAAATCAAATAAACAATTCAATCATAACATTACATAAAACAAAACACCATATCAATTCAACAAATATAATCATGAAATAATCTAATTAAAATAAGACAATTAATCTAAGCACTCAATTAAATAAAACAAATAATTTAAAAATAAAATAAAAGCAATTAATTCTAATTAAATTAAACAAATTATTTAAAAATTAAATTAAATTAATTAATCCTAATTAATATATCTTTTAAAATATCGGGATATTACACGTGCAAATCACAAAGTTGCAATGCAGTGGAATATCATTATCTCTAACTTAACAAATTATTTTATAGACCGACAATAGGAAAACATAACAAGCCCAACAACATTATCCTTGTCATAATATCAAAAAAAAAGAAATCTAACTCTGGAAGTGAAATGAACTACCATTCCACCAACTCTCAGAAAAATATACTAATAAAGAATGAAAAGCCAACTCATTTCTCTAGGTGCACTCAGATGCACTATTTGAAATTAAAGTCTCTATTAGAATTCCTACAAATAACTAATGACACAATTGTATACCCAATAACAGCCACTTAAAAAATTAAAATAAAATAAAGAAAATACGGGACAAACGCCAATCGTGGCTTAGAATAATTTATGTTTAATTATCTAATTTCGAATCTACTACAATCAGAAATTCAAAGTTTAATTCTAGCAGATGAAATGCTGTGTGATTATTAAGCTATGGTCTAGGCCAAAAACAACAAATGGCAGGACATAGAAGTAAATTAAAATGATAACTCCATCTACTAACATTTCATTCTACTAATCATGTGCATCATATTTTATCATTGAACTTGATTAATTTGCAGCCCCCCCAAAAAAATGGTAAAATATGGTTGCAAATTGAATCTCAACAAATCTAATAACTACTAAAAATTAATATACACAGCAATGTGTTTAGCTAAACATAAACATGATACCCCATTTAGCAAGAAAATTCTTATTACTTCATTTTATTAAAATAAGATAATTAAAGTTATACTTACATAAGCAGAAGGCCAAGAAACGCTAGCTCCAACTGTATCTCCAATAGTTTTGAAACGTATAGAAGCAATAGGTAATGGTTTTTCTTGCATGATTGGAATGGTAACACTTACTTCCCAATTATGATGTCCCAATTCAATGCCCCTTACTTCTGAACGCGGATTCCAACTCCTTCTACGTATTCTTCGCTCACTCTGATATTACCGAACACATTAAAAAAAAAAAAAAAAAAGAAAAGAAAAGAAAAGAGAGAGACTAACTTGTTAAACATGTGTTATAAGCTTATAAATCATATAAAATGGAAGGAAAAATATTCTAAAAAATGTACCTTGATCTGTGAATCCAACTCATATCCATATTTGTGTCCTTAAAGTGGCAACTATAAACAATGTGATTGAAGAAACTACAAAGGCAAGTAGGTTATAGAGTACATGCAAGCATGATACACGAAATTAGTAGCTTCATGTAAAATAGTCAACTAAGGCATAAAATTATGATCTCCCCTTTCCTTTCAGTCCCCTCCCATCCCATTCTGTTTTCACCTTTACCGCATTAATTCTTCAAGTTTAAGTGAAGTCTCTGATACTGCAATCTACTTTACTACCTAAGCTCACACGCAGTCAAAAATACTGAGAATATAAAAAACCAACTTATTACTGGGAATACTTTTATTATCCTAGTTGCTCAATGAAGAATATGGTACAATCCGTTGTTAATTTAGCGAGGAAATAAGTTATATTATTGTCTCATATATAGCATAATATGTAAACCAATAACTACATCTAAAAGGAAATAGATTAGAGTTTATAAGAATAATGTAATGTTTATGATTTTTTCGTCTTTTCACGTTTTACGTGTCAGACACCGTGGGGTGTGCCGAGTGTGTCAGAGTGTTGATTAGGACATTTTCTTGAATTCAGGACTCTTAAAAATGCATTGGTTGCCATTTCGGCATTTTTCTATTTTTCGGGCTGGGAGGTCCTGGGCGGGACCCGCTACCGGGGTCGTTGTGCACGGGAGTTATGTCACGGGTCTATTGCATTTCATGCATGTTTATTTGATGCAAAATTATGTGGTTATATGTTTATTAATGTGGTGGTGAATTGATTATTGTATATGTGTGTGTGTATATATATATATATATATATAAGTAATAATGTTAAAAGAAATTCTTTTAAGTCGTGGGGTCCGCTGGATGTTTTAAGTCATTACAATGACTAATTGGTCATTACAGACCCATTCTATTTTCTTTTCTTCTCTAATTTCTCTCTCTCTACCATTTCTAATTATTTTCTTCCTTCAACCATAAAAGCCTCGATCTAGCCATTTTCTTTGAGAATTTGGTATTGCCGCTTAAGGCAAAGTTGGAGAGCTCGTCGAGGCCGTCATTTTGATTGAAGCCAATCTCCGTTTGGCCACCATTTGGGAATTCGTATTGGGCTATTTTGGGGCTATACGAATAGCGTTCCCGAATTCAAGTTGATTATATTTTGCCTCTTCCTCAGAGAAAGACAATCAAACAATTCCCATATGATATACAAAATAAAACTCCAGATATTTGATGTCTTTCTCTTTGAATAAGATCTGAATTCCAGTGATGGTTTCATTAGATATCTTCCAACTAGAATCCATCTTTTTTTCCAATCCAGTTCCTCCACCACCCCGAACTCTAGTTTGATTCAGGCATGATACATTTTTTAGTATTTGGGAGAACTCAAATACTCTATTTCGGATCCATGAAACAACTCTTTCATTGAGGCTTTGCTTGGGTTGTTCTTCTTGTGAGGTAGGGGTCTCCCTAATGTGTTAAGTTTTGTCTTTGTATTTGAGCAATTTTTATTTACTTATATTATATTTCTAAAATTTTAAACCTTGATATGAGATTGTGGATTATGAATGTTTTATGTGTTCAAGCATGATATTGTGTATATAATTATATGTTGGCATGCTTGTGGATGATTCTTGTTCATATATCTTACTTTGGATAATTATGTCCTTATTGTTTTAAACTTCCAAAGTATGCCATAATCTTAGTTGATTAATATAAATGCTATGATAACGTTGTTCTTGATACGATGATGATGGAATTGAAATTATAAGGATGTAAATCATTACATAGCATATCATGGCATAAGGGAGGGGTTCGGAGAAGAGGTGAAAGGAAAATTTTGATACTTTTAAAGAGTAAAGTTTTTTTTTAAAAAAAGATGGAAAGGTTTTTTTTTTATTTAAATGAACCGGATTTCGCGAGTCCGGGGCTAACTTGACCTAAAGGGAGCGCGGCCCAGTGTAGGGTGTGAAAAAGTTAATACTAGGCCCCTTAACGGTTGCCGGATTTAAAACCGGAGATAGTTATTAATCTTGCCTCGGTAAAGTCAAGTTATCGGATTTTTTTTAAAAAAATGTGGGTTGGGTCGGTATAGGCCAGATTTGGGACGGGTACATCACATTTCATATCAAGCACATCAATTGTGAAATTGCGTTAAGTATTGGGACTGTTGCCTATTGAGTTGAAAATGTTGCATACCCCCATTGTATGACCCCGATTCCTTTTCTATTCCTTTACATGCTACGTGGTTCAACGGAGTCAAAAACTAACGCCTTAGGTGACTTCTACTCCCCATTATTTATTTTTTTAATATTTTTCAAGACACGGGAAAGAAGTGGCGGATGATGCTCCACCACAGGCTTAGTTTGGATTAGAGGATCATTTGCTATTTTTGTATCTAAGTCCTATTATTTATGTATAACCTTAGTTTGTTATATTTGATATAGAGACTTATGAACTCTTGTTATTGTAATTTTGCTTCATGGACTGTAAGTTGATGTAATTGGAGTAAAATTCTAGTATGTGAGCATGGGACTATGTATAAGACAGGTATTTCTATGTTCTGGATGAATGGGATGATGATGATGAATTCTTTTGAGGATGGTGTTGATGTTGTAGATTTTGGATTAAGGTTTATTATTTACATCTTGTGTTGTAGTATGTTAGTTCAGTTTTGAAGGCCCAAGTGAGGCCATTGCATTTCATATGCATTAAGCAGGTTGTAGAAGGACTCTTTTCTGCAGAGGTCATGCCGAATTTTTGTGTTGTTACCATAGTTGTCAAAGGTGCGGGAGGCACCATCATGGCGCCTTTAAGGACTTAAGGCGACTAACTTGAAGAGGGCGCGCGCCTCTACTACTAAGGCGCAAGGCTATAGGCGCATAAAAGGCGTGCCTGCTTCAAAAAGGCTTTTTTTTAGTTGTTTTGTTATTATTTTTGTTTGCTATTGTTTATTATTATTATTTTTGGTAACTATTTGATTATTATTACTTTTTATATAACTTTACCAAACTTACAAAACAAAAAAAAATAAAAGAAAACCAATTAACCAAAATAGTAAAAGGAAAGACTCAAGAGACAGAGGCTAGGGCTTGCGAACCGCGAAGGCGAAGGCGAAGCAATCTCGGATCTGCTGAGTCACGGTATGTTCTTCTTCTCTCTCTTATTTTTCTCTCTTCTCTTCTCTCGGCATCTTTTTCTCTCTTTTCTTCTTCTTTTCTTCTTCTTCTCTCTTCTCTCAGCTCTCTGGAGTGTCGGCATAATTCTTTTCTTTTCTTCTCCGAGTCTCGACAGAATCTTCTTTTCTCTCTCTTTTTTGGTTCCCAGTTCTAAGTGTGTAATTGTGTATGCCTTTAGACTTTTCCTTTGTATTTCATAAGGACACATTTAGTATATATATTGATCGCACACGTGTTTGTAGCTAAACAAATTTTAAAAAATTATAAATCAATTTAGCATTATTTTTCTTACCATATTAGTTTTGTTATATGTTTTGACGAAAATATATATATTTTAAATTTGCAGTCATTGAGAAAAACTGGTTAACTAGAGAACTTCACTGCATATATCAATTTATAAAATTCAAGTGTTCAGTGAAATTATTGAATCACTAAAAATTAAATAAATTCAATCAAATTGCAATATTCAGAGGTTTTGTTTTTTCTTTCATAGTTGTATAGTTGAATTAAAATTTATATATATATATATTTATATATATATATATATAAGTTGTGATCGAAATAATTTCCATATATTAATAAATAATATTCTGCTTTCTGCATCAACACTACTTTCTACTTTCTGCATCAACATGGAGTTATGGACAGATAAATGCTTTTTTGCTTTTTGCATGAAATAATATTATGTTTTTTGCATTTTGCATTTTTATGATTATTCACTGTTGAACTCAAGTACTTGATTTAGTTGGCTTTGGCATGTTTATGTTGAATATTAAACTTAAGTAATTGATTTAGTTGACTTTTGCATCTTTATATATACTGTTGCATCTTTATTGGGTGGTTTCTTTCTTTTTTTTTTTTTTTTTTTTTTTTTTCAACGTGCGCTTTGCTTCAGTTGGGCGCGCGCCTCGCCTTGCGTCTTAGGCTCCAGAAGGCCTTTGCGCTTTTGTGCGTCTTGAGCCTTTAACAACTATGGTCTTTACAAGCAAAGGATGGGGGGGAAGGGAAGTGAGGATGCTGGGTGAGGTGTAAACTACATACATACAAGTTTAAGTTGTCAAAGAACTTTGATTATGGATAGAATTGAATGATTAGAAACTTAATGCAACCTTATGAACAAGTAAATTATAGCCAGCTTTGAGCGCCATTCATTGGAATCCAAATTGTGGCGATTTTTCAGATTGCCAAAAGAATTGAAAATTGTTATCAATAGAAAAATCAGATAATGAAATCAGATAAACTATGATGAACAATGCTAATGCGGTCACAAAAAGAAAGAAGAATGAATGATTGTTTTGCCACACAAGTTTATACAAAATTATATACAACAAAAGTTTGTATATAAAGATTTCAGATGCAAAGCTAAACAAAGCAATGAATCTACATAACATTTCAGCAATAGAGCATAATAGGTGAAAATTGTAAAGAAAACACTATCAAATCGAATAGACTTAATCTAACCTAAATATATTCACAATTCCACTTTAACCCCCTATTATGGATCAATTTTTTGATTATATTAATTTCTTATCAGTACATTTATATACATCAACGTGTATGTACACATGTTATATATATTAAAATCATAAGTTCATTATAGTATGCATTCTAAAGATGCGACTGAAGTTTAAAGTTCTCCTCTTCTGCTCCGACTTTCTTTTTCTCACTCACTCCTACTCCTGCTTTGTGACTTATATTTTTAAAGTGATATTTGTAGTTTTTGCTTGCAGTAATTTTTTCTGAATTGTTTTCACTATATATATATTTTCCTAATATTGTTGGAAATGTCCAGAATTATGATATTTTGATGGTTGGATTTTCTATATAGAATTAAGTATTGTGCAGTATATATGTTAATTAAAACCTTGAAACATTTTTTAATTACTGAAAACCATATCTAGTATGTGGTTATGCCTGACGAGTTTTCCATTCATATGGTTTAAATACTGTTGAAAATTAAAAGATTGTGCTAATGCACTACTATATATACAAACATCAATGCCTAATTGAGCATAAAATCCAATAAAAACAAATTATGATGAAGAGTGAAAAACCTAGGGTTCGCAGTTTGATTTAGGAGAAATAATGATGAGTGAAGAAGTGAGGAGCGAGAGTGGAGAGAGAAAGTGAGAAATAACATCAATCCCCAATTAATAATGAAATAATAAATTCAAACAAAAAAGGAGCTGTGAAATTTACCTGCGAGTGGACAAAAATGGAGATAACGTCGATGATTGTTGGCCTGTTTTGGCGAATTAGATGTCGATTTGGCTCCTAAATCAAACTCCAACATGGACTGTGTTCGCAGTATAATTTTGGTAGATCAAGCTCTCCATTGAAGAGCGAGGAGAGACCAGTCTGAGTCAAGCTAGAGAGAGAAAGGAGTAGGGTAGAGAAAGAAAGCAAGGAGCGACGAGAGAGGATTAGGTGTAGAGAGAGAGTTTGAGTCGAACTAGACAGAGAGAGGATTGGGGGTAAAGAGAGAAGGTGAGAGTGATTGGAAATTGGAAAATGAAAAATGAATAATAAAAATGAAAAATGTCAGCGGCATTTTTTTACTTCTCCCCGCATTTTTTATAAAATACTTTTAAAAATGACTTTTTAACAGTATTTTATAATATTTGCTGCTAGACCCATCTTTTCTTGTACTGCCCTTGAAGTAAGTTATACTATGTATATAATTAAATTTAAAAGCATAAATTGATAAATTTAAAAAGGATAATTCATCACCATTATTATAATTATTTTATTACTAAGAAATATAATAACACACTTTTTTTGTCCGTTACCGAGCACACCAAAGCCCTCCACTTTGGGAGGGAGGGAATAATAGAATGAGAAATATTTTATTCATTACCCTCCCACACACAACATTTTTATAATCACAATCTTACAGATTATCCATCACATACTCAAGATGGAAAGGCCCATAGTAAAATAGCTTACAGCCCATAAATGTGAATTGCTGACAATGGCCTTGGGACAAGGTTTTGAAAAAGTACACCTTGATATAAGAAGACACTTGAAATGGTAGAGAACTAATTTTCATTTCTAGCCGAGTGTGACAAAACCAATCTGATCAATCAATCCATGTAGTTCTGGCCCTATATTGTGTCTTGTAAATAGAGTTCTAGCCAGAGTGACAAAACCAATGTGATCCCTCACGGTAAATGTTGTGTCTTGTGCCTCCTATTTTAATGTCTTTTTTACCCTACTTCACAGTAAATATATAATGTATGAATTTTTATAAATGATACATATTTGTGAACCTTTTCAATTAGTCTAACCACATCTTATCTCACCGAGCACGTAAATGGGAAGGAAATATAATGACTGGAGATTCCCCTAACTTTTAGATGATTTTAATGTGTTTGATCAATTGACTTGTTTTACTACTTTGAATTTCAATGGCAAAAATGGGTAGTTATAGCTGAATCCATGATGAAGATACATAACATACTTATGGTAATTATCCTTTATTTTTTTCTCCTCTTTTCCCTAATTGTGTGCGGATATAAAAATACAAAATAAGAATCCCTCCTTACTCTGTCCCTCTTTTCCCTTCCCTCCATCCAAACATAAAAAAATTTATTCATCCTGTGAACCATCCCTCCAACCAAACATAGTATTATTGACACTCTAATCAAAAGGTACTTCGTTTTAATTCACGAAATTCATGAAGTAAAAAAAAAAATCATTATGCATAACATTGCTCTTACTTAATTTATATGTAACTTAATAATAGAAGAGAAACTGGTCTACCTTTGTCCTAATGACTTTGAGTTTGAACTCTCAACCCTATGTCAAAATAGAAATAAAAAATAAAAAATAAAAATAATAATCTGTGGATCAAATCTTTTATTAGTAGCAAAGAACAACTAGGATGATATTTTAAATTTCTGAAATTCTATCTATTTCAATTCTGTTTAGAAACATTCTCTTTTTAATCAAAGATTATATTACGATAAATCTATGTTTCCTTTAGCAAATTCTCTCTCTATTTCAATTATTAAATTTATATATTGCCATTTCTTATTTTTCAAAAATGATATTCTATCTTGAGTTATTTCAACGTATACTACAATATTCTTAACTGTTGTAAAAATAAATAAATAAATCACACTGGACTTTACATGAAAACATATGAAGTATATTTGTGTATTTTTACCGGGTATTCGAGAGGGATGAGATCACGAGAACAACTCAGCAACAGGGCGCATCACGAAATACCGGTGCATTGGAGAGTACGCTGATTCATTTGTGCGTATCCCAAACCACCTCCTATTGAAGAATAACTTCCACCAATGTCGCAATCTAAAAAACCTTCACACAAGCACTTTCATGCTGTGGCCAGGACGACAAGAATATTGCGACATTGGGTGTTTTTATTTTACATAGAGCTTTCATACAAAAACATGAATATTTTTAGAATACGCTTCACTACGCATCTTTCCTCGTGTAATGCATATGAATTAACGCCCATAGCATCAATTCATTCCAAAGTCTTAAAATTTGTTTAAAGCCATGCATTGAACTAAATCCACCAAATTGTTCTTATACGAGATATAAGAATCAAGGTACGGAATCTCCATGAGTTAGTTTTATGATATACATTACGATTATGGTGTAACGGATTCGGATAAAATTAATATAAACTGTCCATACGACAAACCATGGTTGACCTTTCTCAAAAAGACTTCCTGATCAGGCAAGGATCCAACATAGGACCAGTGGGGCCTCCACTAAATTTTTTATATTTTTATTTTATACCTTACTTTTTTTTTAGAATTTACGAAGATACTTCCACTAAAACTAAATTTTTTATATTTTCATTTTATACTTTAATTTTTTTATAATTTATGAAAATAACCCCACTAAAATTACAACTCGCCCCATTGGATTTTATTTTATTTTATTGTATTTTATACTTCAAATTTTTTAAAATTTATGGAGATGATCCCACTAAAATTATAATTTTCTCCCACTAATTTATTTTATTTTATTTTTTATACTTTAATTTTTAAAAAATTTATGAAAAAAACCTCATTAAAATTATAAAAATAGATTTACTATATAAGTTTGACCTCTTAAATTAAAAATCCATCTCCCACCACAAAGTTTTAATGTTTCCTAAAGTATTAGGTTTTATAACGGTGCAAAACCCCATTATTAAAATATAGAATAATGGGAGGGCTCTTATATTTTGAGGCTATAGGCATCCTTGGACTAAAGTGGTCTTTTTTTTTCTTTTTTTTTATTACTCTTACCTATATATAATAGATTGTCGCTGTCCTTCGTCCTTGTTATTCTTGTTAATCACACTGCATGTCGTCACTGAGGGCGACAAAGAGACGGATCTTATATGATGTGTAAGCATCCATCACCGTCGGTAGTGATGAAATTCAAAGGAAATTAATCACGGAGTATATATATTTTTCTAAAAGTCAAACATATTATTATAAACAGGGTAAAGTACATTAAATCCTCCTAAACTATTGAGGTATGTACAAAAAAAAACCCTTGAACTATAAAAGTTACAAAAAATTCCTTTGAATTATTGAGGTATGGGCAAGAATCCCCTAAACTATAAAAGTTGCACAAAACCCCCTGAACTATTGGGGCATGTGCAAGAAACCTCCCTGAATTATATATCTTTTTTTGCAATTTACCCCACCGCGCGAATTGATTGACTAAAAGGGACGATGAAGCCGAGGAATTTGTTGTTGGGATCGGTGGGTCTCCTGTCATAGCTCTATTATAGCCATTGCACCACCCGCCAGATCCGTCGGCCATATATATTGCACTTCTCTGCACCGTTGCGTCAACCCATCGCCGTCACTGCCTTGCCCGTCATTCAGCTCACCTTGCTTACCGATCCATTCCACCGTCCATTCCAAGCTCGCCAGCCCATTCCGCTATCTCCATAGCCGAGCACACTGTCGTCCGTGTTTCGAGCACACATCCATCCACAGTTCACCGCCGAGCCCCCTTGAGCTCGCTGCCGCCTCCACAGTTCACGGCCGAGTCAACCGAGCTCTCATCACGACCGAGTCCTCTGCGCACAAGCCGCCATCATCCGAGACCGAGCCATCCCGTCGACCTCGTATTTCTTTGGTCTCTTCTCTCTTTCTCTCTAGCTCTCTGTTTTGGGTTGTATTGGGTGAAAAATATCTTTTGGCAGGAAAAAAAATGTAAGAAGTGTATAAGTTAAAACGACGCAGTATGTTATAAGGGTAAACTAGTCTTTCAAAATTTTCGGTGCCGGAAGCTGATGTCATGGGGGTAAATTGCAACAAAATCATAGTTCAAGGGAGGTAAATTGCAACAAAATCATAGTTCAGGGGGGTTTCTTGCAAATGACCAATAGTTCAAGGGGGTAAATTGCAACAAAATCATAGTTCAGGGAGGTTTTTTGTAGTTCAGGGAGGTTTCTTGCAAATGACCAATAGTTCAAAGGGGTTTAATGCACTTTACCCTAAACAGAATGTTGTTAATTGGTTGATTTGTTGGCAAATAGTTCAAAGGGGTTTAATGCACTTTACCCTAAACAGAATGTTGTTAATTGGTTGATTTGTTGGCAAATATTAAAAAAGAAAAATATATATCAACCCAGATGTATATCTGTAATTCAGACGAAATGTATTTATTATTTTTTTTTTAACCGAAAACTCAAATAAAGTATAATAAAGGGAATGTTGTTGATTGCTTTAATGAAATATATATTTTTAAAAAATAAATAAAAATTAAGCCAGATTTTTGAAAAGCATGGTATATATTATTAATTATAATATCGCATCAAAATAAGTTATTTTTTTGTTGTTTTTATCCATAAGTACTATATTTTATTGTTATGTACTAGTCCCTAGAACATACAAATTAGAGTCCAAGAATAGTTATCTTAGGTAATCGAGTGGCATCCGAGCTTGATTTGCAGTCTACTGGATTAATTCTAAGTCATTGAAAAATGTTGTTCTTAATAAATTATAATGAAAACTGTGATTTAGAATCTTAATCAAATAGATTATAAGAGAAGAGGAGAGAGAGGTGAGAAAGGATAGAAAACCGGATACTTACTATGTGGTAGTCCACGTACATATTGAATACTTTATTCTTCGAATATTAAATTTGTATTTAATTTTTAATAATTTTTTTCATACATGAGCAGTTCTGAGAGTGAGGTAACTAAATATATATGTATATATATATTAGGAGCTTTTGCTGTAAGAGTTCACAGAAACAAGGGAGGATCAAATGGCCACACTCAATCTTAACACCTGCACATTTCAGCAATCTCGTGCCACCATTGATAGAGTTCATATGCTCTTTCACTTCATAGCTATAGTAACCTTACTTTACCACAGAACCTCACACCTCTTGCATGGTGACATACCAGTTCTAGCATGGGGGCTCATCACCACCTCCGAAATCATTTTGAGCTTGATATGGTTACTTGCACAAGCTTTCCGGTGGCGGTGCGTCACTCGGTCCGTCCACCCGGAAAAACTCCCCGGCGATGTCGAGTTGCCGGGGGTTGATGTGTTCATATGCACCGCTGACCCTAAGAAGGAGCCGACGGTGGAGGTGATGAGCACGGTTTTGTCGGCCATGGCACTCGACTACCCATCGGAGAAGCTGGCCGTGTATCTTTCCGATGACGGTGGATCGTCCTTGACACTGAATGCTGCTAGAGCAGCATGTTTGTTTGCTAGGTCTTGGCTTCCATTTTGTAGAAAATATGGAATCAAGACTAGATGTCCTGAAGCATATTTTTCACCACTTGGTGATGATGATCGTCGTCTTTGGAGCGATGAATTCAGGGCAGATGAAGAACATGTCAAGGTATGTTTGAATTTCTGTCTCTTTCCACGCCCTTTTACTTTTCGAGCCAATAGTTAAATTTTGAATTAATCGATCTAAATATGATAAATATTCATTAGTTAAACAAATCCCATATGTGCTATAGTTGATCGGGTCCATAATAATATACTTTAAATATACTGTATAATGTTATAATATATAATATTTACAAATTATTAAAATATTTTTATCATTTTTTTTGTTCAGAAAATATTTATTTATTTATTTATTTTCAGAAAATAATTTTATCATTATTTGCTTCATTTTCTCTCCTCCCTATTTTGTTTTTTTTAAAAAAAAAAAAAATATTTAATAAAAATCAAATATTTAACCCGATAATTTACGGGCCTATCAAGTTATTGGGTGGATTGAATATAACTCTTATTGGATTCGAATCATTTATTGATATAAAATTAGAGATGTTTAGAATGAAAGATAATAAAAGACAATCGATATTATTTTTCTACCATTCTTCTATTTCCAATTGTTTTTACGTAAAATAACCTTGTTACGGTAAATATTATTTTAAAAGGTATATTCTTCCGTGTTTGGTTTAAATACTAAAAAATATTTTTAAAGCATGTTCAGTAGTAACTCATAAAAGTACAGTAACAACAAAAACGCAAAGAAAAAAAAAAAACAAAGGAAAATATGAAAGAGCAACAAATTAGGATTGTTTGGTGAGGCATATTATCAAACAGGTGGTGGGTATAAATTATGATTAATCTTCTCTCATCTGAAGAAACAATCCAGACGTTGAGTGAGGTGCTTTACACTTCGGTATTTGATGCTAATAAATGGTTTTCCATAGAGCTGTTAAAGATCCTGAACAGCAAGGTCTGGTCGATTGTGTGATTGTTGGAACTCGACCAGAAGAGTTTTACGACAAGGCCTTAGTCATGGTTGTCAGGAAGTTGAGAGTGGAAAGCTCGTCCATTAAAAGTCGAGACTCTGCAATTAAAAGTCGTAACATGACTTACAGATCGTTGGAAGGGTAAATCATTTCTGGGCTTTTGAAAAAAGTATATTTTAGCAGCTAAATTATTTTGTTGTTTAGTTGTAACCAAAGTTACCAACACCGGAAAACACTAAAACCCTAGCTAATGTTAGATTATTGTTATTGTTGTTGTACTCATGATAATGATGTGAAAACATGTTTTCTTGTTTTCGAATTTGCAGTCAACATACCAAATGGTCAAGAAAACTGTTGAGATAGCTAGTGACTTTGGTGGGATTGATGGTTTCGATTTCGTTGTCAACGATCGACCTTCTCACGTTGAGGTATATTATAATCTAGAAAACTCTGGAGCCTCATTTTTGAAACCACACTACACCAGTTCTATAAATGAGGGTTATTATTATTATTATTGTTGTTGTTGTTGTTGTTATTTTATTGTTGTCAAGAAACAGAATTACACACATTTTTTTTTGTCCAAGTTCGGACTTGAACCTCTCTCCTCCTCTTTTAGAATGGGAATTTTATACTATTGAACTAGATGCGTATGAGGTTATACAAAGGTTCAATATTTTTCACAAAATGGGATGGGTAATTAGGCGAGACAATAGAATTCTCTTTGCCTAAACTTTGTGAATCAAAATTTTATATTTATTCTTTCGTGATCGTTCATAACTTCTGCTCCGTTCTAGGTATTACATGACAATAGGAAAGATGGAGATAACAAAGATGAACAAACCAAAATGCCTCTTCTTGTCTATTTATCACGTGAAAAGAGACCATCTCACCCTCATCGCTTCAAGGCCGGAGCCCTCAATGCTCTGGTATGATATACCTTCTCTCTCTATCTCTCCATGTATCTGTGTCTACTAATAATTGACTAGTATTGGCACTGCTAATTTTCTTGCAGCTTCGAGTTTCTGGGATAATGAGCAACAACCCCTACTTACTAGTATTAGACTGTGACATGTACTGCAATGACCCAACCTCTGCTCGACAAGCAATGTGCTTCCATCTCGACCCTCGCATGTCTCAATCTCTGGCTTTTGTACAATACCCTCAAATGTTCTACAATGTTAGCAAGACTGACATCTATGATGGCCAAGCAAGATCGGCTTACAGGGTGCATACAAAAACTTATTTCATAAATTCCTTAATTTTATTCCTTGCATGCCTATGTTAATTCAAAGCCAATCTAGCTAACTTGAATTCAATTTCAGACAAAGTACCAAGGTATGGATGGGCTAAGAGGACCAGTGTTTGCTGGTACTGGCTATTATTTGAAGAAAAAGGCATTATATGGGAGACCTAATCAGGAGGGTATGATTATGTTTTGGAGAAGAACTTAACTGATCAGTTATATGAACACTAATGTTACAAACACAACCAATTTATCTAACTTATTATACATATTGTTTTATAGATGAGTCTCTTCTTGAACCAGAGAAGAATTTTGGTTTGTCCAAAATTTTCATTGCTTCACTAAGTGGCAGTGAGGAACAAGACACCAACGGGAAGGGGGTTTTATCAGATGTAATTTTAGAAGAAGCCAAAAGGTTGGCTTCTTGTACCTTTGAGAAAAACACTAAATGGGGTAAAGAGGCAAGTATTGTATGATCCTATTATAATTTTTTTCATCATCTTAAATCATCATTGTAAATTTACATGTATCTATGACCTTGAGATTGATCATGTTGCTTGGATCACAGATAGGTTACTCTTATGATAGTTTGTTGGAGTCTACATTCACCGGGTACCTTCTGCATTGCAAAGGATGGGAGTCTGTGTACCTTTATCCGAAAAGGCCAAGTTTCTTGGGTTGCACCACTATTGACATGAAGGATGCAGTGGTTCAACTCATGAAATGGAGCTCTGGATTGTTTCAAGTTGGATTGTCAAGGTTCAGCCCTCTCACTTATGGTATGTCAAGGATGTCCATTCTTCAAAGCATGTGCTATGGATTCTTCACATTTTCGCCCCTTTACTCTGTTGCTCTCCTAATATACGGCACAGTTCCTCAGTTGTGCCTTTTCAGTGGCATTCCTTTGTTCCCCAAGGTAAATCACAATATTCCATTATATTGTAAATTACAAACATGTTTGTTCTGATTTTTTTTTTTTTTCCTAAAAAAAAAAAAAAAAAAAAAACACATGTTTGTTCTGATTAATGTTGGTTTCAGTATCAATTGTATTGCAGCTACCTAATTGCCGTCTACAATTATATCCTATGATTGCTTCCCCTTATTTGACTAAAGCCCGGAACTTAAAAGGGCCTAAAAAAAATTGTTACAACATGCCTCGAACATGGTTGGTCTAAGCAAGGGAATGTACAGTTTTTCGACTGCAATAAATGAAAGTTCCTTGTGGAAGGGAACTCATCTGCGGTGGCTAAATTTCAAAAACTGTTCATTTCTGTTTAATTTGTCATTTTGATGCTTCCATGCATACAAGTCCACATTAATAAGCAGTTGTGTCTCACTTCTAGGTGGGTGATTTTGAAAGAGAGAGAAAATAGAGTCAGTACCCCCTAATCTGAACACTTCCTCTCAGATATATTTATTGTGATTTTATTCTACAGTTCTAAGGAATGGAAGTTCCCTTACTGTAGTGTCCGTGGGACTAGTTATTAAAATTATGAATCATGTTGATCCTTTTATGTAGACCAAAACTGGGATTGTACAAGAAATTAAGTTTAACTTGCACTTAAAGCATTTTTAGGCGTAGTTATAATCACAATTGTAAATTAACAACTGATTAAGTTTAACATGTTTCAATTGTTGTTACAGGTTACAAACCCATGGTTTGGGGTGTTTGCAGTTGTGTATTTATCATCCCTTTGTCAACATTTCATTGAGGTCCTCTCTACCGGTGGAACAGTTCGGACATGGTGGAATGAACAAAGGATGTGGATGATAAGATTAGTTACAGGCAGCTTATTTGGATGCCTGGATGCTCTAATGAAGTGGTTAGGAGTAGCGAAATCTAATTTCAGGTTGACGAACAAAGCCTTTGACAAAGAAAATCTTGAGAAATATGAGAGAGGCGAATTCAATTTCAAAGAGGCTCTGATGTTCATGGTCCCCCTGTCAACATTAGTCATACTGAACATCGTGTGCTTGATTGGAGGAGTGAAAGGGGTGATTACTGAGAGAAACTTGGGAGAGATGTTTGGACAGGTTTTCCTTTCCTCCTCCATTCTAGTCCTCAGTTTTCCCATACTTGAAGGGCTGATACCATTAAAAAGGAAAGGTAAGTGAGCTTTGAGCTCTTGGGAATGTATGTTTACTTGTTTTAAGGGCTACAATCTACGGTTATGCCACCCACAGATAAGAGACTACATCTCTTAGCTAGCTACTGAAATATTTGACGAAAATAATGCATGGTTGTACTTGACTGAAAGTCAATTGATGTAATATGAAGGTTAACTATTGATGAATGGAGTCTTGATGTAATATGAAGTTTAACTATTGATGAATGGAATCTTGTGGTTATTTATATATACATCATTCACATTCAAACCTCCTCCCTTTATTTATTTACTTTTTTTTATTTTTTATTTTTTATTTTTTTGTCGGCTACGGTGGCATAAGACTTGTTAAAGTACTCCATAATTTATCACTAAAACATGCAATTTTCAATTTCATGTACATGGGATAATTGTTGAAAAAATTGCCACGTGATCTAGTTGGTAGATTGCCAAACTTTCTGAGTAGGAGTGCCCTTGTTCCAGTCCTCCATTCCCTTAGTTTGCCAGTATAAAAATAAGGATAAAGTACAAAAAAATCTCTTGAACTATGTTCGAATTTGCAAATAACCCCACTGAAATATATCTTGTGCATAATACCCCCTGAAGTATCACATTTTGTTACAAAATGCCCAATGTCTAAACTATAATTCATTAAATGACCATAATGCCCTTTCTTATTGAATTACACGTAATCTATTTTTTTTATTAAAATAAATAATATAAAAAAAATCATACTAATTTGATAACATATATTCTTTGTTAAATTTGCATAAATTTACTTTTAATTTTTTAAATTAAATGTGTAAATAAAAATCTTAAGTAGAATTTTTTTAAACAATTTAATTAATTTCTCAAATTTTTATTAATATATTGCATGAAAAAAAGGTATTTTTATTCAAGTACTTTATTAAATTTTTATTAATATATTATATGAAAAATAAGGTACTCCTTATTTTTTTATGGTAAAAAAAAATTAAAATGAATGTAATAAGTTTTAATAATAAGTTAATCATTTTAGAAAATAGTAATTACAATTTTTTTTTTTTCCTTTTTATGATAAATTGATACTAATAATAAAATAAAAGACAATAAAAATAATTTAAAAATAAATGACAAATTTAATGAGAAAGTATAAACTAGTCTTTTGAAATAAATTTGTCTTTAATTGCAACAATTCAATAAGAGAGTTATTTGCAACAGGATAACAGTTTAAGATTTTTTTTTTTTTTTTTGGCATCCCTAAAAATAATAATAAAAAAATTATTGAAAAATTAATAAGAAGAAATTATCCGACTTCTCACTAAGTCTCTACAACTGAACAATGGAAAAAAAGAAAAGAAAAAATGAATAAATTTTGTTTTTTTTGGGAAGATAATGAATAAACATTTCAAATTTCAAAAATCCTCCCTTCCCCCTCCCCCACCTCTCTCTCTCCCTCTCTACATCCTCAAAGCTTTTGAGGATTGCAGTAAGATTCCATTTTTCAACTTCAGTATACTTCGAAGCTTCTGCAATAATGGAAGAGGAGACTACCTTGAAGCTAATCATGGAGAAAGGCCCTCTAGAGGGACAAACCCTAGAATTCAAACCCGGATCTGTGATTCGAATCGGCAGAGTTGTCCGTGGCAACACAGTGTCCGTCAAAGACGTCGGTGTTTCCTCAAAGCATCTGCTGATCGAATTCAAATCGGGTAATTGGGTTCTCACGGACATCGACTCCTCTAACGGCACAATTTTAAACGACTCGAAACTCCTTCCGTTGAATCCATCGGACCTCAGCTCCGAAGACACCATCAAGATCGGCGAGTACACCTCCATGAAGGTCCAAATCGAACTCGCAGAACAGAGTCGGTTACGAAGAAACCCTAGGAGGCGACCCAAAGATGAAATTCTGGATGCTGTGGTAGCTGTTGCAGAGAATCGCCGCGGGAGAGGCCGTCCAAAAAAGAATATGGCTTCAGTTAGTGAAAATAGTGAGTTAGGGTTTGGGGTTGGAGGGGAATTGGGTGAAAATTTGGTGTCAAAAAATCAGAATCAGACTGGTCGGCCAAGGAGAGCTAGGGTTTTGAAGAATGAGGCTCAAGAGAGCTTATGCAAGGTCAAAAAAGTCGAAGAAGTAAACAATGCAGGTCCAGTTGAGCCAAAACAGGGGAGACAAATGAGTGCTAGGATGACCCGGAATTCAAAGAAGGCAGAGAATTTGAATTCTGTTTCCATGCTTGAGAAAATTCCAGAGAAATCAGGTTTAGATGGAAATAATTGTAGAGAGCTGGAGAGTTCAGCTCCCGTTGAGGATGTTAAAGGTAAGAGGGCGCGAGGGGGGACAAGAAGGAAGAAGAATGTAGAGGATGAACCATTGGAGAGTGTGAAAAATGTGGTTTCGGAGCAGGAGATTATGGAGGGGTTAAGTTTGCAGTCAGAAGGTTGTAAAGAAGTGGAGAGTTCAGCTCCCATTGAGGATGATAAAGGTAAGAGGATGCAAGGAGGAACAAGAGGGAAGAGGAATTTAGAGGATGAGTCATTGGAGAGTGTGAAAAATGTGGTTTCGGAGGAAGAGATTATGGAGGGGTTAAGTTTGCAGCCAGAAGGTTGTAAAGAAGTGGAGAGTGCTGCTGGTGTTAAAGAGAATTTATCAAATGGACAGTCAGAAGCCGTTCAAATTGATGTGCGGGAAAATAATGAGGGGTTGGAGGATTTGAATTTGAGACGAGAAGGTGGTGAAGGATTGGCAAGTGTATCTGGTGTCAAGGAGAACGGTGTTGTGGTCGACGATGAGCCAGATTTGGAGAAGATGACGCTGGGGGAGTGGTTTGATTATTTAGAGGTTTATTTGCCGAAGCAGATACATGATGCAACTGAAGAAATGATTTCGAATATGAGACATAGAGCATTGCAGTTTCACGAGTTTATGTTGCAGCAGAAGAATGAGAAAGATAAGGGCAAATTACCTATAAGCTAGACACAGAATGTGAGGAGCACTTTGTGCAAGTTATCTGGTAACGAATATCTGTTTTTCTCATTCTGATGTTTATGTTGTAAAATCCTTGTATACTTTAATCCTATAGAGTTGAAATTAATTTTGATAAACATTCAGTATCTCTTTATAATCATCATCGGTTCCAATTGAATGAGGCCAGTAACACAAATTGTCTTCTATAAGTAAAACATTTTATAACTGTACGAAGAAAAACATACATCTTTTTGCTACTTTGCGTTTATGAATGCCATTCTGTACTATTTGTGTTTTTCTGTGTGTTGGGACATGGGTCCTAGTCAATTGGTTAACGACCTTGATGCCCTGTTGTTTTTGTGACTTGTGAGTCATATGTAATCCATATTTTATGCATGAAAAAAGTTACTGTGCTATGAAGTTAAATTACTGATTTCCTACAAAATTACTGAACTTAAATGTAGTTGAGAATTGTGACTGTCATTTTGTTGTTCAGAGAAGGGTGCTGGAATTAGATCACAATATTGCAATCCTAAAACGTTGTTGAACCAATACTGCAGCTTCTATTACCATGTAACCTTTTTGTCACTGTAACCTCATGTATTGAATTTTAAATTACTTTCATTTTGCAGTTCAGGCTTGAAAATATATAGTTGTAAATTCTATTTGATTTGGGTTTATGATCCATGTGAACTACGTTAACAACTTCATTTATGCTCTTGCTGGATCACTTAGCTTCTGCTGGGGGGCTTATGTTTATCCAATTCAGATTATCGATCTGCAATTATTGAATGACCAAGCTAGATTTTTTTAACACTACATCTCAGTCCCTCATGTCCTGTAAACCGGAGTCAGTCATAAGGTCTGTTGTTTGGTTATTATTTTGTCAGTTTTCAGTGAGAGGTCCACTTCATTTTCTCCCTTATTACTCTTTTTTGTTCCTCTCTTGGTTACTTTTTATGATCATCATAGATTTGCCCCAAGGAGTGGACCTCTCACTGAAATGGGCATGCTGGCATGGCATAGTGATATAGGCACTCGATAGTCTACACCACCCCAGAGACCTTGACAGCTTCTGTACTGTATATATTAATTGTCCCTCTGATACGCCCCATTTTCTAGGGCATGGTAGTGCAATTCTTGGATATGTTCTCAATTTGAGATTTTCTTTCACAAGTCTTTCTGTTCTAGAATTTTTTCTGCTGCTTTTATCAAACGAAATGATCTCTAAATCTGTCTTGCATCTCTCTCCCAAACTTCTTACTGTTTTTGGGTTATTAACATGTCTTTTCTACATGTATCGATCACATTTGATGATGCCTTTCCATGTCCACAGACCACGTGGCATTATCTATTCTTTCCCTCACTACTTAGTAGCAGCGGTTCCAGTTCCTATTATTTTCGCTTCAAATACTATAGACTTGGGGCTCTCTTGATCTCTGTTTTATTTTCTCTCCGCTGGCCGTTTTTATTTGATTTCTCTTGCATGGTGTAAGAATCCATTTGCAAAATCTATCTTTTGCCACAATGCCCGATAAGATAAATATATGTGACTAGCGCGATTTGGACTAGCAATGCACCTGTGGTACAATTCATTAGTGGCCACTTATGTTTGACGCACTGCAGTTTTGAACTATGTCATTATGCTCTGTACTACTAATTTCTTGAGTATGATGAGCTGCATCAGAAACCTTTGTTTTCACTGTTAGAAATACATGAGAGTTCTTCCTGTTTTGAATCACATTTACTCTTATTTAGTGCATCTTCCTCCACTGCGCATACAGCTTCCTCTTATGAGAGTACTATTATCTGAAGACTTTAACATATGGCATCATTGTGATAGGTGAGCCATTTTATCGACCATATGTACATAATATAGGACATGTGCTCCCTTTTCTGGAAAATTGCTATTTTCATGTTAATTAGATGATATACTTGATACTGAATATTGATTGTATTTCCTCCACTGATACTTTTATGCCAAGTATTCGCAACTAAACTGCACTTATACTTTTATGGTCTTGGCCCAGGTTACTTGGCAAAACCCCCAAAGCGATTTTGGACACCGAATATGCCCCATTTGTCAGTTTAGAATAATGGATATACTCCCGGGGTTGTACTGCTCTGGTAGATTATTGCTTTGACGACACTGGTAGTATAATCCTTTTGTTTGCCTAGGGATTTCATTTTCATAAGTGGAGCCAATATATATATATATATATATATATATATATGTATGTATGTATATTTTAACCACATCCCTGTCCTTATTCGTTGTTCTTGCATCTGCTGAATGTAGAATGGGGCTCAGTAGTGCCAGAATAACCATCTGGATGAGTTGAGTGATTGTGATTGGAATCTAATGTCGCTGAGGTATTCATGCCCTAAAGTTGCTTTCATTGTATTTGTTTTCCTTGATAATCCTCCCCTAATCTCATTTGAGATTGAAATCAACCAAGCTTCCATGTAATGCTTTTTGGGTATTGGATGCTAAAGCTGACCATTAAAACCCCTGCCAGTGCCATGGATACTTCTCATGTAATCAAGTAGATACTGTAGATTACATGTTCCGAATCATAAATTGCTTTAGTCTTCATCCTAGCACTACTTGTATAATTAAAACTTGTAGGATTAATAAAATTTAGGGTTTTTTTTTTTTTTTTTTTTTCCCGGCAAATAATAAAATTTAGGGTTCTTCCTGCAGTGTTTATTAATCGAAATTTTGTTCGCATTTCTGATAGTGTTGGTGATGTCTAACTTGCATCCTGCAAAACGGAACTTGAAAGCAACCAATAGTTGTCTGATGTGTAAAAATTCTGCTTGGATAGTGAATCAAAGGTTATTGGATGTATGCAATAAAACGTGTGAACCACTAAAATCCCACTTCCTATTGTATTGAATGTTATTGCTGCTTCCTTTCTAATTGAAGGCCTTGTTAATCTTTGTTTCTATTTATTTATGATATTTCACAATACTAAACCTGTATATTTTAACACATTTTACTTGGATTGAAATGTTACACCAATATAGGGAAAATGTGGCACAGCTATGGACTCCGGAGGTGCTTCATGGTTGTAGTATCCTGTTTTCAAGGTATGATGGAAAATTGACTACATTATTGCTTTATGTTACAATTACCTACACCAAGTATCTGAACTTTAAATACAAGTTTGCTACTAAGAAGAGAGAGGCTCTGCATAAAAAAATACTGAACACAAGAGCCATTATATGTATTTTTGTTAAGATGAATTTTGAGGTACTTAAAGAAAGTGACAGATTAGAAGAATCCAACCTTCGAGGACTATCAAGCTAGACACTGAAAATTTAAGGGAGGAGAAGAAGTGTAATCTCTGTTTACACCTAAAATGAGCCGGCCACGTGGAAGCCAGTGGCACCCAAAAGGCATAAGAGAAGAAATCTAGGTTTTTTTTGAAGTTTTGGTTCTTCTGGAACCTGGATCCTCTCATGTGCCATGGGATGTTTTGTGTCAATGCAACAACTTTCATGCTGCTTATGTAAACTATTTTAGATCCTTTATGCAATAATTTTACATTGCTTATTCGTAAATGATGTATTGTATCGTGTTATGTAAGCAGTAGAAGATGCAAACACAGAATCGCAGTAGAAGAAGCAAACACAGAATCCTAACACACGGAGTGGTCCTCATTCTTTTACAGGTCCCTCTCACTCACGTTTGGTTTTTGGACGTATGAAAACTACTTTGGTCCCACCTTCTGTCAATAATTTTTTTGGTTCAGTTTGAGAGTTTCGTAAATTTCATCTTCTTCATCGAACCCCATTTCATTTAACTCATGAAAACTAGTTTGGTCCCTCCAAAGATTGCCAACCCTCATTCTCTTTTAACTATTTTAAAGAATGAAACTTGAGAACCATTCAAAGGATTTATTCGAAAAAGATCAAATAAAGCCAAAGTATATATAATTGGAATATTTATTCGAACCATAACTGAAGTTCAAGAACAAAAGAAGTAAGCTCCTCCACAGCGTAGGTAGGTGATAACAATACAGTGGTCACAACGTAGATAAATCAAATTAAACTACACACATAATTTGGGGTCGAAGGTTTCTTTATTTGTTTAATACAAGATCATTAATTCAGTGTTGTTCACTACTTTTTAACCCGCCAAAAAAAAAAAAAAAAAAACTATTTTTTTATAAAATAGTACTGCAATTTTCTATATATACAAGAGAACATTTTTCTGTGTTGCTCATGCTTTGGATAACCATGCCCTTCAAGCTAAATCCTCTGATTTCAGTTGGGAGGTGCCCTTCAATCCCTATTAGAGCAAGCCCAATGGTCCAAAATCCAGCGATTTTGGGTCAAATTCCGCAATTTGAATCCTCCAATGAAAAATTTACCATGGCTGTATTATTATTGTCATGTGACACTTTATGACAAAATTTATTTATTAAAATGTCCTTCCTCTTCAATAACTAAAGAGAAAAGCAATAACAATAATGGTGCACTTAACACACAGAAAATTGTTTATCGCTCTCTCTATCCATCTCTCACAATTTTTCTCCTTTTTCTCCTCTTTGGACCAATTAATAGCAACCAGAAAAAATGTCAAAATGACAATTCAATTCATTTTCTGAATTATCTAATGTTTGGGTAATTTTTTCGCAGGTGATAGGTGATAATAATGTCAACTCAGTGGAGTTTGGCCAAGCTGAGATACCTCTTCTTGCATACATTTCTCGTGAAAAAAAGCCTTCCCATCCTCATCATTTCAAAGCTGGAGCCCTTTAATGTTCTTGTATTTCTTCCTTTACCCTCTCTAGACATATTTGCATGCAAGCAATTATAGATATATATATATATATATATATACAGAATCATATATATTACCAAATGTTGAATGCAGCTGCAAGTGTCTAGCATCCTAAGCAATGCCCCGTACATATTGATATTAGACTGTGACATGTACTCCAATGACCCAAAATCTGGCCCCCAGGCAATGTGCTTTCATCTTGATCACAAGCTCTCTCCCTCGCTAGCGTTCGTTCAATTCCCTCAAAAATTCCACAATCTCAGTCATAATGACATCTACGATGGCGAGTTGAAATCACTATTCATGGTAATATAAACAAAGAATTATATTATATAATCAAAATTTTTTTTGGGCTAAAGTAAATAGATTTATGTGGCTTATGTTACAGCGATGTGCAATGTTTAATTGGCAGAGGAGGCAGTTTCAGTATTCTGATAGTAGTTCTGGTGTTAATATTTTAGATAAAGTGGCCAGGTGCCGATGGACTAGTGGGACCGATACTTTCTGGTACATGTTTTTACATGAAAAGGAATGCATTATATGGAGGTGATATACACAATGGTACGTTCTAAGCTTGGAAATGAAGCCCTAGGTTCATAAACTAGTATGATTCTAATAGTTCTAGTCACTCTCATATGGTATGAAGTTGTACATTACTTTTTACTCTGTTTTAGTTGTGTTATGGTTTGTGCAGGTGTGGATATTCCTCAACTCAGACGATCTTTGGGTCCTTCAAATGAGTTCATCAGGACCATTGAAAAGAGTTACAAACGTATAAACATCAACAACGGCGACGTATCAAATACATTGCTACAACACGCCCATTTTTTAGCCTCTTGCATGTATGAGAAAGAAACACAATGGGGTTCAACAGGCAAGCAGTGTTTTTTTAGAACTAAGCATTGCATAACCTTGAACATTGATTAGGAATTTTAACATTTCGAGATGATCTTGTTTGCTCAATGGCAGATTGGTTTCTTGTATGGTTCTCTGGTAGAAGATTACATTACCGGGTTCATGTTGCACTGCAAAGGGTGGACTTCTGTTTATTGTGACCCTTCTAGACCAGCATTTTTGGGCAGCGCCACAATGAATTTCAGTGACATGTTAATTCAGCACGGAAGATGGATGTCCGGGTTGCTAGAAGTCGGATTCTCTAAGGTTCTGCCCCCTTATATATGGACTATCGAGAATGCCCATTCTTCAGAGCATGTGTTATGGTTTCCTTGCATTTCAGCCCCAATATTGCATCCCCCTGTGGTGTTTTGCTACTATACCTCAGCTGTGTCTCTTGAATGGCATCCCAATATACCCTAAGGTAAACAAACTAAACTGGCTTTTTTTGTGCTAACAATATGGAACACAAGCGCTGAAATGTGTTCTAATATTATTAAGTCATACTCGCTCACAGGTTTCAAGTTCGTGGTTCGTTGCATTGTCCTTCAGTTTCTTCTCATCCCACTTGAAACAGTTATGGGATTTCTTCTGCAGAGGCGGATCAATGCAGACATGTTTGAACGAATGGCGTACTTGGATGATCAAATCTATTACAGCCTATTCATACGGAAGTTTGGATGTTGTTTTGGAGTTAATTGGTGTGAGAGAAGCTAGTTTCATGCCAACCAATAAAGTCGCCAACGACGAACAAGTTAGATTATATCAAATGAGTAAATTTGATTTCCGAACATCAACTATGTTTTTGGCACCAATGATCACCTTAGTAATTCTCAACACGGTTTCTTTCGCCAGAGGAATAGTTAGAGCAATCTTTGAAGAAGGATTGAACCAGAACTTTGCACAAGTTTTCCTCTCACTTTTTATCTTAATTGTGAATTACCCGATAATCGAAGGGATGATATGGAGGAAGAATAAGGGAGGCATTCCCCTATCAGTCACATTATTATCGGTCACATATTCTTTGATTTTCTTGTCTTTTGGTACAATTGTTCATATAATGTATCGGACTTTGTTCTTAAATATGAAATGTACAAACTAGTGCTGATTTTTTTTTAACTGTAATTATCTTTATCCATCATTAGTCATATATTCTATTTGCGTTATAATAGTCCTTTGAGTTGGGCCGAAACAAATTGATCAATGTGTATTTTTATCGGCATAAGAAAAAAAAAATTATAATGTTTCTTCTCCAAATTTTTTTTTCCCTGGGTAAATGTAAATGTGCAGTGATGGGCCTAAACCAATGAACAATACCAAGGCAAAATTTCAGCCCGGTTATAATGAGTTAACTAGAAAGGAAGCCCAGTGAGGAAGGCCCATTGTTTGGCAAGAAAAGGGATAATATCACTTACCTCCCTCGAGGTTAGACCTAATTACAAGTAATACTCTTAATGTTTTAAAAATTACAAAAACCTCCCTTTAAAGTGACCGGTGAAATGTTTGTTAAATGACTAAAATATGCTTATTTTATAAAATTAATAAAATACGAAATTACAAAATTACCCACTAAACACTATACCTACACCATCTTACCCCCCCCCCCCCCCCCCTCTCTCTCCAACATTTATTCACTCTATTTTCTATATCATCACCAACCACCACAATCAGCGTTTATCAATTCATCAGAAAGAATTTAGGTGCAAGGTCCACTTGAACCGATGAACACAGAGAACCTTTGGCATAACTTTTCAGAGAAATGATTTTATCATTATATAGAATTAGATTTTCAGAACTCCACCACCCTAAATGGAGAACACCGAACTTTTCTACTGTATAACTCACAATATATATTTGTATATATATATATGTATATATATATTTGTATATACACACAATATATAAACCCTCATCTGACCTTCTATTTTCTCTCTATTCAACATTTCTTTCCTATCTACTCATCTGAAACTTCTCTCTCTAGCCAAAGAATGACTGATATAGTAAGCTCATACTCATCACCAACTGGGTTCAGATCACACCATTCACAATGGGTTATCTACCAGAGACCGAGTCTAGTACCAACTTGTTCTCGCCACCACTAAACTTACATTCTTCATCATCTGGGCTATCTAAATCCAACCAAAACTTAGATCCAAAAGAACCCGAATCAGAAACGAAGCATGAGGGGAGAGAGAGCAAACACGGTTTATACACAGGGGTTCGAATGTAGACATGGGGCAAATGGAAATTTGAGATCCGCAAGCGCAGAAAGAAGTCAAGGATCTGGCTCGGACCTTTCGCTACCCCCGAAATCGCGGCCGAACCCACTGAGTTGCTTCTTCGGCCTGCCTCGTGATCTCCACGTGATGTCCAAGGTGGCGTCAATGGACCACCTCAACCCTCCGCCACCACCGTCGTCGTAGTCGTTTATGTTGGAACTTTCGACACCAAATGAACTGAGTGAGATAGTTGAGCTACCGAGTCTGGGAACGGGTTACGACTCAGCAGAGTTGAGGAACGATTTGGTGTTTGTTGACTTGTTAGACGGATGGGTAAATCAGCCGTGGTTGTACAACCCGATAGTTGGGTTACAACTCGTTCTCGCATGGCGATGAAAAGATAATTGAAACACGCCGGCGACGAACTGTTGGGCAGAGTAAGCAGGAGGCGGTGATGCAAGGATTGTTGACGGCAATGGCGAGCTGTCTGCGAGGACTGGATTACCAGCCGGCCGCCGAGCTACTCTAAAAATGTTCCTTCGTTTATGTTCATCCTAGGGTTTGTGGTTGATGGGTTGGTTGAGGAGGATAATGGGTCTCTAAATCTAGGGCTAGATTGAGGGGTGGTGAAGGAGGAGGGTACATAAAATTATGGTATATAAATAAATTTAAGGGAAAATTACATATAAATGGAGTCAAAGTTCCATATTTACTTAGAAGCTGGGTCAAAGTTTCATATTTTTCTAAAATGGATTGCTGAGGTGGCACATGATTTTTTACTGTTTAGAAAATTGTGGTGCCCAAAATGCCCTTCCCTAACAAAAAAGTAGTACCTTCAGTGCAAAAAAGTAGTACCTTCAGTTCAAAAAAGTAGTACCTTCGGAGAAAAAGTAGTACCTTCGTGGGTATTTAAAAAACATGGTACCTGGATGCCAAAAAGTAGTACCTTCAGTTCAAAAAAGTAGTACCTTCGAAGAAAAAGTAGTACCTTCGCGAAAGGGTATTTTAGGCACCACAATTTCTAAACAGTAAAAAACCATGTGCCACCTCAGCAATCCATTTTAGAGAAATATGGAACTTTGACTCAGCTTCTAAGTAAATATGGAACTTTGACTCCATTTATATGTAATTTTCCCTAAATTTAAATAAAAAGTAAGGATGTATATGTCTTTGTTATTTTTCTTAGGGCAAATGTAGTATTTTATGCTAAAAATTGGCTGATATCATTAAAAACCGGCATTGAGAGGGAAAAAATATATATATGTGTGTATATATATATATACACATATATATATATTTATATGTGTGTATATATATATACCCACATTAAAAACCGGCATTGACTATCATCGCGGCGGGGTGTGTATATATTTCCTATAAACACAAATAACTTGCATGATTCATATGATTTTACTATTTATTGGGAAGAAAAACGTAGTTTAAAGTTGAAGATCAAAATTTGAGTGAAGATTTTATTCAATTTATGATAAACATGAATTATATGATT